TTTTTTAGCTAGCCAGCATTTCTGTATGAATTTTATGTACTGTGTAGACTCACATTCAGAATGACCTCTTGAAACCAGAAAGCAGTCTAGTCCTGGCAGCCACTTCGTCTAAGCATGTATTGACACAAAATGACCAGTTGCATTTTCCTGATACAGAATCATTCAAAAACTTGAATAGTACTGCAGCTATAGTGCTGGTTGGCAACAAAGTGCATGTAACATATCCTCATGCATGTCCTCCTGAAAAATATTTCACACAGAAACAAGTGTAGTTTTGTTATTGACATTAATAGATTTGTCAGCCTGGATGCGGAGCGCAGTGACTCACTAACCCTCACTAACAGTTCTCCCTGAGGATCCTCCCGTTTTCATTAATGCATCCAGTTACGGTGCTGGTCTAAAGAGCAATGCGTGCCACCTTTTGAGCTGTAGCTTCCAAACGTTCGTGACAAATGTCCTTAGCAGCAGGCAGGATCCACTCTTTGAATAGTACAAGCCTTCTTAGCTTTGGTGATGTGGTCTGCAGCTGAGAATGAGCTCTCTGTGCAGACACATTGGGTGAAGTATGGCCTTCAGTAATCTCTTCTGTTGTTCATGTTCACTTTCTTTTTTCTTTTTTTTCTGAAGACTTGTCTTTGACTGCAGGGTGTTTGATCTCCACGTGGCAGAACAGCTTTGAAGGTTTCATAACTTTGTTGAATAGCGGTTGCCACACTTCATACACAGGGTGTTTGGAGAAGGGGAAGCACCCAGCACAGTGAAACTGGGATTGAGCAGGACTCCTTGCCGCGGCTTTCATTGTTTCTTTTTCTTCATTTTGTTTTTTGAGACAGAATCTAGCTGTGAAGTTCAGCCTGGCCTTGAATCCAAGGTGGCCTTGAACACATAGCTATCCTTCTGCCTCAGCCTTCCAGGTGCTGGGATTACAGGCATATGCCACCATGCCTGGCAGCAGCTTTCTTTTTATTGACATTTTAGAGTCTTTCTGCTGGCTCATCAGGTTTTTCTTTTTTTTTGAAAGAAGCTGGAATCAGTGGACTAATTTAGTAATCAAACTCCCTTAATCACAGCATTATACACTCTAGATCCAGCCACCTCTGAAAAGCCCCACCTGTGACCTCATGAGGCTTTGGCAGGACATCTAGACACAAACCATGACATTCTGCCCCCCTCTTCCAAGACTCACACACATCCCTTTTTAGACATTTAGTTCATCTCTAATAATTGCCAAAGTACTAAAGTTTTAGCACTGCAGAAAATTCCAAGTCTAAAGGCTTCTCTGAGATTCAGGGCAAACTTAGCTGGGAACACCTATACAAAGGTAAAGAAAGTTAAACACTTCCAACATACCATGGTTTAGTAAACATTCCCATTTCAAATAAAGGATAGAAAAGAGTAGGACCAAATCCAAGGTCCACCATGGCAAACATTTAAGTCCTGTTGTTCCATGTCTAACGTGAGACAGTCTGGCAAAATGTGAACTGCAAAGGGCTTTGGTGGCTCTGGCCACTATGGCATTACAGATAATTGTAGCTCCCACAGCTTCTTTTTTGGGCCATCTTTGCTCCTTCCTTGCATCTTTCCTCAGATTATCCATGTTCCTGGCTTTTCTAAACTTCTGGAGTCTCCACTGCACCTTTGGCTTCACTCTTACATCTTCATTTCAGAAGCACACTACCTGGCCTCCCCGGCCTTCTTTTAAAATCTGGGTGGGAGCCTTCCTGACCCGACTCTTGCATTTTCCATGTACCTAAAACCAGCATCACATGGATGGTGCCAAGGTCTGCCATCAACTAGAGCAGTAGCCAAGCTTTCCTCTCTCTTGGTTGTAGGGGATGGTATATCGATCACTGAGTACTCTGAACTCATTTCTGAGGAACAAATTATCTAGGCTGCCACCATTCTAGAACATGGTGCTCTGGAGCGATCTTCTCAAAGCAAATTCTTTCACTTTTGGAAGCTTAAGGCTGCAAATGCTAGAGTCCTGTTTCTTGTGATTCTGCAGAGCTACATTTTCTTCATGGTCTTGAAGAAATTCCAGATCAAGAATGTAAGGAAAAGAAAAAGAAAATTTTGACCTGTTTGCATATACCTTCAGTCCTAGTATTCAGGAGGCTGATCCAGGATTGCTGGGAAGGCCAGCCTGAGCTACATAGTAGTGAGTTCAAGGTCAGCCTAAATAACAGTGAGATCTGTGTCAAACAAGAACAACAAAAGAATAATAATAATCTACCATAACACATCTTTTGGGAGGAATATTCTTTCACTCCAGGCTCCAGAAATCTACAGATTAAAATCTCAAGGCCCACGACTACTGTAAAAATAATATCACAAATCACACACACAAAACCATTATACAGTAAAAGCCAGGACAAACAAAAGATAGTAATCCATGGAGATGGCAGAAAATTTGTTTTGTCTTTGTAATTCTGGTAAGTTTGATTAAATGAAGGATTGAAATAGGAATATGAATTAAGAATGTCTGAATCAAGATCAAGCAAATGGAAAATAAAAATGGAACTTGTAGTTATAAAGGGTTAACTGACATGAAATAGAGGAGAATTAGTCGGGGCTGGTCACGCACACCTGTGTACCCAGCCCTTGGGAGGCTAAGACAAAAGCATCACTAGGATTCCAAGGCCAGGATTGTCTATATAACTGCACACTGGGTAGGTAGGGCTTGTGGAGACAGAGACAGAGAATGAATATGTGACCTGGAAGATAATACTGAAGATCTTGTTGAGAATGCAACTAACAGACAATAAACATATGCAAGCTTGAGGCATAAAAATTAGTGACGAGTTTTCATTGTATCTAATTGGAGTTCCAGAAGGAAATACATATGAATGAAGGGCAAATCAGAGTGATACTGCAGCAAGCCAGAGACAGAGCAATTTTAAAATAAGCAGCTAAAGTGAAACAACAGATTGCTATAAAAATCTTTTTCTGGATTCTGACAACTGATTTCCCAGGAACAACAGCAGAAGCCAGAGAACACTGGAATACTATTTTCAGTGTACTAAGAACAAGTAGCTGTCAGCCTTGAAATGGCATGCCCAGGAAATCTTCAGGAATCACCATGAAATAAAGACATTTTCAGATAAAAAGTTAGACAAGTTTTTACTTACAACAAGAGGTTCTAGAGGATGTAATTCCTATAAAGAAAAATAATTCTAAATGAGAAGTCTGAGATGCTTTTTTTTTTTTTTTTTTTTTGTCTTTTTGTTTGTTTGTTTTGTCTTTTTCGTTTTTATCAGTACCAGGGATCGAACTCACGACTGCCTACTTGCAAGGCAGGCGCTTATGCCGCTGAGCTAAATCCCCAGCCCCTTTTGGTCTTTTTTTGACACAGGTTTCGCTCTGCACTTCAGTCTGGCCATGAACTCAATCTTGTATCCCAGGCTGGCCTTGAACTCACAGATACACCTGCCTCAACTTCCCAAGAGCTAGGATTATAGGCATACACCACCAAACCTGGCTTTTGACTAAAAACTCTTATACACAGACAAAAATACTTGAATTGGTACATGCTATAAAAATGCCTTTTTGGTGATGCTTGGGATTGAATCCTAAGATTTCACATGAAGCTGCTTCCCCAGTCCTTTTTATTTTATTTTATTTTTCTAAATTTTGAGATTCTTGCCAGATTGCCCAGGCTGGGCATGAACTCACAATCTTTCTGTCTCAGCCCTAAGTGGTGGGGTTATAGATGAGTTACATCATGCCCAGCTAAAAATGTTTTCTTAAAAGGAGTACCATTTGCATTTTATTTAACAGACTATTCTGGTTTTACTTATAAATGAGTGTTACAGCTGGGAGTATTGGTGCACACTATAATCCCAGCACTCTAGAGACTGAGACAGGAGCATTGTCACAAGTTTGAGGCCAGCCTGGGCTACGTTGTAAGTTTAAGAACAGCCTAAACTACATGGCAAGACCCTGTCAGTGAATGAATGAATGAATGAATGTTTTATGTGATAAAGATTGATGTTTCTTGCTGGAGTTTGACTTAGTTAAATTTTGGACAAAAACATCCCATTTCAGTTCTCTTGCTTTCTCTTTCAGTTGCCTGGCCAACTGAAATACGTTCTTCATTAAAAAAATTTTTCTAACTTTCTGGAGTGCAGTTTTTATTTTTTTGAGGTATCAGAGGTTGAACATAGGGTGCTTGCACTGAACGCCATCCTGAGCTCTTCATTTTTTGAAATGGCGTCTTACCAAGTCGCTAAATTGCCAAAGGTAGGATCAGATTTGCTATATTTTTGCTTCAGCCTCCCAAGGGTGCTGAGAGCTTAATTTTTCTGTATTTTTTTCATTTATTAATAAATATAGGGGCTGGGGATTTAGCTCAGCAGCATAAGTGCCTGCCTGGCAAGCGTGAGGTCGTGAGTTCGATCCCTGGTACCCTGATATATTTGTTTTATTTTTATATACACATATATATAATATATATTATACACACATCTTTTATATACACATATATAATCTATATAATATATGTGTATATATACACATACATATATACATAACATACTAGGGCCATTTGAAGAAATATTTAATAAAAAAGGTGAATATTGTTTTGTTTAGTTTTACTATAAAAGACTATTTCAGTTGCTGCTACATTCTTTTCTATTTTTTTTTCTTCTTTTCTATTTTTTGTTTTGTTTTGTTTTTGTCCTTTTGAGTCAGGGTCTCCCTATGCAGTTTAGGCTGGCCTTGAGCTCATTTTGTAGCCCCAGGCTGGTCTCAAACTTGCAAGATCCTTGTGCTTCAGCCTCGAAGAGAACTGGGATTACAGGCATGCTCTACCTTACAGTTTACTACAGTCTTTTTCTAGCTCTGTTTATTTATATCAATCAACAAATAGTATAAAAATAAACTTGTTTAAATAAAAAGATCATTTAGAATGGTCATTGCTTTGCTAGGGAATTTTCTAATATGATCCCTTTGTAAGAAGGATGTCTTCTCTAACTTTTTTTCCTATTCTTTTGTCATTTCAGGTGCGAGTGAAAGTGTAGGAAAGCACATGCTTGAAGCTTGCAACAACAACCTGGAGATGGCAGTCACTATGTTCCTGGATGGGGGAGGAATTGCCGAAGAGCCTAGTACCAGTTCTGCAAGTGTCTCTGCAGTCAGATCGCACCCAGAGTATGGATTGATCGTGTACTATTAGCAGCTACCCCTGCCTAGTGAACTAGTTGTGTTTTTTATAAAAGTTAGGTTGTTTGTATTTGGTTCAGAAGTTAAAAGTCCCTTTAAAAAAAAAAAAACAAGTAGAAATTTTTGTAGCTGGGTGTGGTGGCACACACCTATAATTCCAGCACACAGGCTGAGGCAGGAGGATTCTCCTGAGTTAAAGGCCAGCCTGGGCTTCATAAGCAAGTTCAAGGCCAGCCTGCACTACATAGTGAGGCCTGCCTCAAGAAACAACAACAATAACCACAAAACTTTGAATTCTTAGTAAGTTAATACTTTTTTTTTTTGTCTTTTTCCTTTTTATCGGTACTGGGGATCGAACTCACGACTGCCTGCTTGCAAGGCAGGCGCTTATGACGCTGAGCTAAATCCCCAGCCCCAAAACTTTGAATTCTGTAGGGTACTATTAACGTCTGTTATTTAGTCTTGCTATTCAGTCCTCAAAAGACCTCCATGGGCCTCATGTAAGTCTGGGAGGCTGGCTGGCACCTGATGACCTAGAGGTAGAGCTTGTGAGTCCTGTAGCAGCCAAAAACCAAAACAGACCAGTAGAACCATCAGAGAGCCTCACAGGGTGCTTTTGTTACCCATGTCTTACCAAGGCTGCAGAGCATTAAGCAGTGGCCTTCAAAGGCCAGGGAAGTATGTATTTCCCCGATTCTAGATAGTCTTAATTTTCTTAGGAAAATGAATAGCCACACAAAGATTTTGAACAATAATTCTAGACGGGAGCAGTAGCTCAGTGGTAGTGCTTTGCTTGCTTGGGAACCTTGCTCAAAAGAAAGCCATTGATTTTTGAAACAAAATATTTAAAATGTCCTCAAGTGAGATTTTAATATGCATAGTTTTTTATAGCGTGCATTGTTTATAATATGAGATACTACACAAGAATTCTTTTAAATAAGAATAAGTGCTAGGAAAACTGACTATAGACACACAGAAGATTAAATCTAGACCCCTATCTGTCTTGTACTAAAAGAAAGTCAAAAATGAATTGAAAACTTAAATATTAAAACAGAAACTCTTAATGGAAGATGAAATTGGTAAAACTCTCAAAGACATAGGTATAGGCAAGAACTTTGTGAACAGAATCCCAGTTGCATAAGTAACATCAATAATTAACCAGTGAAGGGCTGGGGATGCAGCTCAGTGGTAGAGTGCTTGCCTGGCTTGCTTAAGGCTTTGAATTCAATCCCCAGTACCACCAAGAATTAACAGATGGGATCATAGCAAGTTTTAAAATCTGCATAGCACTGGAAACAACTAGTAGAGTGAAGAGACAAGCTATGGAATGGGAAAAGATTTTCACTAGCTATACCTCAGAGCACAAATATCTAAAATATATAAAAAACTCAAAAATCTTGTGTTCTTAAAAATAAAAGATTCAATTAAAAAAGGGCAATTGAAATGAATAGACACTAGAAATACAGATGATCAATAAATACATGAAGAAATGTTTAACATCCCTGGCTATTAAAAAGTAGAAATTAAAATAACATTGAAAATTTCATCTTACCCCAGAAAGAGTAGTCCTCATCAAGAAATCAAACAATAGCAAATGTTTGTGAGGTGGGGAAAGGAGCCCTTCTACTAGGGAATGTAAACTAACAACACTCACTGGTTGTGTTCCGGAAAAAAATAAAAACAGGAATTCCATTTGACTCAGCTATTCTCTGCCTAGATATCTTCCCAAGAGTTAAAGGTAAATATATTACAGAGACTCAAGAGCACTTGTGTTTATATCAGCATAACTTATAGCTAAATCTTGGAAGTGGCTGGATGTCCATTAAACATGAATGGTTAAAGAAAATATGAAATTATATACATATGTACAGTGGAATACTGCTTTACTATAAAAAGATAAATTTGACTCATTTATAGAAAAATAGATATATCTTGAGACCATGTTAAGTGAAATAAATCAGATACACAAGCTTAAATATTGTGTGGTTTCTCTTATATGAGAAATTTAAAGTAGAAATAAAGAGCAAAAGATGATAGGAAAACAGATTTTTTACAAATGGGAACGAAACCGAAAGATGAGGGAAGAAAAGTAAAAAAGAACTTGGATGATACGTTATTTATACCAACTTTTCATGATGAATGTAATCATTGTATACTGCAAACTTGAACTAGTAAAAATAAATTTACTATTAAGAACAAGAATAGACAAAAGGTTGGGATTTTATTTTCACTAAACTGGATAAATTTAAAAATCAGTACATGAGCTGGGTGTGGTGGCACATGCCTGTAATTTCAGCACTCGGAAGCCCAAGCAGGAAGATCACAGTGAGTTTAAGGCTAGCCTGAAATGCATAGTGAAACTCTGTCTCAAAAAAGAAGGACATGCAGGTACAATTGCCTTGTCGACCTAGTTCCATATCAATACAATCTTGTTTCCACACAAAGTGTGAACTTTAGAGATCATTATTAATACATTACAGCCTTGTCTTGTTAATGTTGGTCATTGCAGTTGTGATATCTCATTCTCCAACATGGCTCAGGTTTTGAATGGAAATCAGTACGAAAGCATGGTTCCCTTTATAGAAAAGGGGATAGTAGATATTTATAGTTGTTTTCAGAGCATGTGCCCTGTCATTGTACAAAATAATTTTGACAGTTGGAGGAGCAGTATATAAGGTGAGACCTCGAGCCTCACTCACTAGATGAGCATTATTTTTTGGGGGTGGGGTGGGGTGAATCGGTACCAGGAATCAGACTTAACAACTTCATGCTTGCCAGGCAGGCACTGTGCTGCTGAGCTGTATCCTTGGCCCCTAGGCAAGCATTCTTATGCTTAGGTATTTCCTTAGCTTATGTGTTTTTGTTTTCCGGTGATACTGGGATTGAGCCCAGACCCTTGTGGGTACTGAGTTGGTCTCAAATTTGTGATCTTTCTGCCTCAGCTTCCTAAGTAGTTAGAATTACAGGCATGCACTGTTGCACCTGACTGGCCTATTTCTTTTGGTGAAAGGATTGACAGAGCTTCTTAGCCATGTCTGTTCCTTCAGATTATGGAGCTTCTGAGTGTGAGTCCTGACGGAAGTCCAGGAGGATACGTCCTTCAGCATAACTTGAACTATCCTGGATCAATTGGCTTACGTGGATATCTTTGTCTCCTTGTGGTTCTTTGATGAAGAGGGTGGTTAGAGATGTATTTCAGTGGTAGAGCAGGACATGTATGAGGCCTGAATTCAGTCCTCATTGCTACAGACAAACAAAAACAACACTCTGATGCCAGATGTTAGTGACCTGACAAATGAGTACTGACAGTTTGTTTCTTAAATTATCTTTTAGGAGGCCCATCGCTTAGACATCAAAAAGAGAACCTTAATCTCATTCAGTACCTTGGTATTGGAAACATCTGGAGCAAAGTTAAAGCAGGCCTACCTTAAATTAAATATATGCTTGTTAGTAATTTATATGCTTATGTTTGCACAATACTATTACTTATATGAACATTTTTCAACAGTTTTCTGTTTGGTTATAAGAAATTATTTTAAAGGCATACAATATTTTTTAAAAATAGCTTTTTGGTGAGGATATGCTGTGGAATGAACGCAGGGCTTCATGCAGACTGGGCAGGCGATCACACTGTCACTGAGCTGCAACTCGGGCACTTGTACACAAATTGAAAGGAGTATTTTTTAACTGGAAAAGATGGACTATTTAGTATACCATATGGAGGTAAACTTTGACGCGAATAGGCTTTTAGAAGATGTATTATTACCTTTTTTGTTCTGTATATTATCCATGTGGTAAATAATCAAAGATTACACCTGTGTTATCCTTTTTCATAATTAGTGTAAAATTTACCACATAATATATCTTTGCAATTTAATTATCCTTTTTCTGTTCCTTTCTCTTTATTGACCATTTGAGCTATTTATGGCAGGTATTTTTTTTGGTTAATCTCTTTTGGAAACTAATGCTATACTCATTTATCATGGTTACTGTGGTTCCTAAAAGATCACTAAGTCTGCTGTTCATTTTATTTGTTAATTTGAATACATCATACAGTAATTACAGAAAGAAAACAAAGTAATTTTCTTTTTGTATTTCCCACTTTTTTTTTTTTAATAGAGAAGAAGTTCGTGCCCCAATTCCTCAAAAGCAAGAAATATTGGTGGAACCAGAGCCTTTGTTTGGTGGTAAGTTCACCATTTTCCATGTTTGACTTCTTGTCTTCAGGATCTCATAATAAAATGATGAAGAAACCTAACGGCTTGTTCAGTGATACTTCAAGTAGAGTCGCTTTTTCTCTGTATGTTTATGTAGCCCTCAGGAAGGCTTCATGACTGGTTCATAAGGAGTGAAGCAGATTAAATAATTGATATTGTTGCAGAAGAAGTAAGTTAGCAAAAAGGGCTACTGCTTGGTAATAGAAACAGACCTGTCATTAGATAAAACATTTTTAGCTGGATATGGTGGCCAACACCTGTGATCCCAGCACTCAGGAGGCAGAGGCAGGATTGTCTTAGTTACTTTTCTCTCTTTGCTGAGACAAAATACCAGATGTCTAAAGTTAAGAAGGAAAGGTTTATTTAGCTTACAGTTTGTAGAGGTTTTAGTCAGTAATCAGCTGGTTTCAAGGCAAGGTGGCACATGGCAGAGGGACAACAGTTCATGGCAGCAGAGCACAGCAAAAGCAACAAGGAGGGAGACCACATGACTCTTTCTGTACTTTATATTGTATGTAGGCTGCCTATATCTGCCCTGGGATAGGTATAGCACTCACACCATCAATCTCAGCTTTGACCTTGAGTCAATGACAGACTTTAAAACCCTGCCTCCATTACTGCATGAGACCTTGGGGGGAAATCTAGACACAAACCATAACAAAGACAATCACTGTGAGTTCAAGGCCAGCCTGTCTCAAAAAACAAAACAATAGATAAGATTCTTTTTCCAAAGTGTTCACTTGATTGCTATATTTTGTCTGAGGATGCTTTCTTTTTTATTTGGAGGTGCTATTCGTGTTTTGAACAAAGGAAAAAATAACCCCCTATTCTACACAAAAAGTTGTGATAATAGTCTGGTATGTGAGAAGATAGTAGAGATTGGAACCCTTAACTTGTGTTAGAGAAAATTAATAGTTTAAGCAGACATATTTCCCCTTTGTGAGCCACATATTTTAGACATTAGTGAATTTAGTAAAAAAGGAAAAAAGTTGGAGTTTTAATCTGGTTCAGCAGACAGAAGTGTATATTGTATGTATTGAGAACAGTAGTGCAGAGAAATAGTCTGTTTGAAAGTTGAGAACAGAGACCGGTATGAAGTTTTGCAGAATATCTAGGATATAGGAGGAGAAATAAGTTGTAAGAGAAGGGTGAAAAAATTAAAACACACACATACATATCTTTCCGTCCTCTTTTGCATTATGCAGAATTGAACCCAAGACATTGTCCTGCTAAGGACATATTCTACCACTATGAGTCATTACCTAGTCTTTCCTGTCCTTTGTTTTCTTTCCTTCTTCTTTTCTTCTTTGTTTCTTTCTTTTGCCTGCATGCATGCTTGCTTGCTTGCTGATGGATTCTTGCTATGTAGTTGAGACTAGCCTTGAACTTACTGTAGCCCAAGCTGGTGTTAAACTCAAGAGATCCTCTTGCCTCAGCCTTTTGAGTACTAAGACTATAGACATGTACCATTATACCTGGCTCTTAAATTTTTATTTTGAGACAGAGTCTCACTAAGTTACTCAGACTCAAATTTGGTATCCTTCTTTAGCTTCTTTGAATAGTTGAATTGTAGGTGTGTGGTTCTATACCTGGATATACCTGTATTTTTTTGATTTGGAAAAGCACCTTAGTTGAAAGTTTTTATAAGAGGGACCTTTCACTCAGTAGCTTGGAGTTTCCTCTAGCAAGAAATAAAAGAATGAGGGCCAGGCATGGAATGTATGCCTATAATCCCAGCACTCAGGAGGCTGGGGTGGAAGGATTGCCTCAAGTTTGAAGCCAACCTGGACTACGAAGTGAGAGCTTAAAGCCAGCCTGAACTGCATGGTGAGATTCTGTCTCCAGAAGATAAATAAGTAAATAAAAATAAAAACACTATCCAGTTGTTCTATGGTTTTTACAGGGTAATAGGTTACGAACCACGTCTCCACACCATTTCCTCTTATGAATACCAAATCCCAGTGTTTTCAGGTCTCCTGAAAGATGATTTGGGATCTCGATTTGGTGGCACACACTTACAATCCTAGCACTCAGGAGGCTAAGGCAAGACAATCTTGTCTTCAAAACTAACCGAGCTACGTAGTAAGACACTCTCAAAAAACCAACAAATAGTTGGCTTACTCTTTGCATCTAATCTTTGAGCATTCCACTGTATATTTCTCATCTCCAGATTATGTGTAATACTCAATGTGGTATAAATGCTTTGTGAATCATTGTATTGTTCAGGAAATTGCAAGACTAAGAGTAGTTCTAATAATTTTCCGCCTGTGGTTGATCCAGAGAAAGGGAGCCTGCAGATTTGAGGGGTAAAGCTATGGGAACGTGATAAGCCTGATTACTATACTATGATAATGCTTTCTGGGCTCTTCACATGAGCTAACCATTGTGCTGTTAATATACCAGATGTAATAAAATGTTCATATTTTTCCCCATAAATGCTATGAATAGATTTGGAGCTGGAAAGTAATGTTCTTGAAAGCTTTATCTTCATTATGAGTCATACGGATCATTGAATGAGGGTGGCTATAGGAAATGGATTCTTTGCTATCTTCCTGTTGAACAGAGACAACTGAGTTCCATTTAGGATGAGACTTTTTTTACTTTGAAAGTGATGTGGGGGCTGAGGATTTAGCTCAGCGGCATAAGCGCCTGCCTTGCAAGTAGGTGGTCATAAGTTCGATCCCTGGTACTGATAAAAAGGAAAAAGACAAAAAAAAAAAAAAAAAAAAAAGAAAGAAAGAAAAGAAAGTGATGTGGTTGTTTTGTTTTGGTATCAGAAATTGAACTCATGACCCCGTGCTTGCCAGGCAGGCTTTTGTGCCACTGAGCTGACTCCCCAGCCCCAGACTTTACTTATTTTCACCTCTAGATTGACATATAGTGCCAGGGGTAGATGAGATTATACAGTTAGGAAGGCAGTGTTTACCTTCATTTAATCCTTACTAGAACTTGAGAATGTTTTTGGGAAACTGTTTTCTTTTTAGGAAATATTGATTGAAAGCACAGTTTTCAAAGTATGACCTGAGGGTTCTTTACATCCTAAAAGGGTTCTTAAGGTCAGCTACTATTTTCATAATAATACTGAGAAGTTACTTGCCTTTTCAACATAGTATTTGGGGGACCAGTACTGGGATTGAACCTTGAGCCTTTGCACTGTGCTGTGTCCCCAGCCCCTTGTGGAAACAAGGTATTGCTAAATTACTAATTTTCCAGACTGACCAAATTTATAGTTCTCCTGCCTCAACCTCCCAGAATGCTGTGGTCATAGGTGTGAACGACTACAAGGGCCTCCACAGTTAGATTTGAACTGGTGGTTTGGAAGTAGTGGTCGGTCAGTGCCAGAATCTTAGAGGGGCCCGGACAGTGGTACCGAACTGTACCACTAGTCATTGAATCCTTCACTCCCACATGTGCACAGTTTATTAAAGGAAGTTTAGTAAACTGTTTATTAAAAAGGAAGTTTAATAAACAGTTTTTTTAAAAAGGGTGTGTTCTTTAATGCTTTTGTTTTATTTATTTGAGGGTTTGTTTTGCTTTGCTTTGTTCCTTTTCTAGACAAGGTCTCTCTGTAGTTCTTCCTGGCCTTGAACTCACTATGTGACCCAGGCTGGTCTAGAACTCACAGTAGTCTTCCTGCTTTAGCCTCCCAAGTGCTGGAATTACAAGCGTGTGCTACCATACCCAGCTACTAATGTTACTGATGAAGCAATAACAAGGATCAATTGTGTTAACTTTTGTCCAGTATGCATTCTTGAAATAGGATGTATGCATAAAACCTTTCTGACTGCTGAAGTTGTATGGTTACCTGAGGAAAAAGCCTTTGTGTGGTTCATTTGGGAGCTGAGCTGGTGGCTTTTATCAAGGAGCACTCTTTTTACCTGAACGATTACTGGCAGAGTGGAGTTATTTAGGCTTGAGGATTTGGCATGTATTTTCTTAAAAATGTAGAGTGGACGTGAACAGTACTTCTGAACAGCTGGTAGTACAGGTTATTGGAGGTGGCACACTGAGGCAGGAGGATCACTGAGTTTGAGGCCAGCCAGTACCACATGGCAAGAATCTGTCTCAAAAAAAAAAAGGAAGAAAAAAACCAAAAACACTGGCAGTATTTGTTATCAGTGATCTGAAACGTTTTCAGGTAAAAATTAGAATTAAAAATAATTATATTCAGCTTGATATATTGCCAACATTTAGAGGGTTTGGGGTTTTTTTTGTCATTTTGAGACAGGGTCACTATGTGGTTCAGGCTGGCCTTAGGCTCACTTTGTAGCCCAGGCTGGTCTGGAACTCTAAATGATCCTCCTGTCTCAGCCTCCCAAGTGCTAGAATTACAGGCATGCAGTACCATGCCCAGTGAGGGTTTGGATTTTATTATGCTGGTATTGTAATGAAATTGTCAGGATCTGGAGTGTTTGCATAGCTTGGTGAACAAATATTACTAAATGGCCAGTGCATGATATTGTGCAGTCACACATTGGTAAACAATGCACTCAAGACCTTAAGGTGGATTATATGTCATATATTGCTATTCAATAGGGTGCTCTAAAATGAAGCTGCCTGCAATAAGTATCTGTTATCTCAGTTTCTTAGGGTCAGGAATCCAGGTGAGGCTTAGCATGGTGTTTTGGGGGTCTCCTGAGGATGCAGTGAAGTGGTCAGCCAGGGCTTTAGTCAGCTCAGTCTGGGAGAAGGAGGATCCTTGAAAGTTGCTGGATAGAAATAGCACTTCCTTACCTCAGAGCAGAGGAAACCAGGAGAGGGTGGTCCAAAATCTCTTCTTGTAACCTAATCTTGTAATGACTTTTATGTCCTGTCACCTCCATCACATTGTAGTTAATCCAACCCATACTCAAGGTATTTCCACAAAGTTTATGAATAGCAGAGAAAGGTGTGGTTTGTTTGTTTGCTTTGGGGTGGGGGGCGGGGGGGGGCAGGTTCTGCCTAATGTAGTTCAAGCTGGCCTTGAACTCATGTCCTCCTGCTTCAGCTTCCCAAATGCTGAGATCGCAGGTATGCACCACCAGCCAGCACACCTGAGGGTGTGCTGCTCTAATAGAATCCCTGAGATAATCTGCTTGAAAGAGAAGGACTTTTTCTTGGCTTACAGTGTTAGAGGTTTGTGTTAAGTCTGTGGCCCTGTGGCCCTGTCACTTTTGGTCTTTCCATGAAGCAGTGCTGCATCAAGGGTGTGGCACAGGAGGCCACTTAGCTCACAGCAGCCAGACGGCAAAAAGAAGAAACTGGAGTTTTGTGACCCCTCCCAGGGCTACCCCTAAGACCTGTTTCCCAGAAGTTCTGCCACCTTCAGGAGTACCTCGGGCTGGGGCCAAGCCTTCACACACAGACCTCTGCGGAAAGTTTATCCATAAGGAAGCGAGGGGCGAGATTGTACACTCTGTGGAACACTGGGCTTGAGGGACAGAGTGTGACAAGCTCATTGATAAGAGTTTAGGATCCACTTTGCAACAAACATTTAAGGAACTGCTACTAAGTTTGCTGTGGAATCAAAGAATATCTGCAGTTACCATTTTAAAAAGCTATAAAAACACGCCTTTTTACAACTGCTTATTTGTGGGGGGCTGAATTTTAATTTTCTTCCTATCTTTGAACTAAAAGAATAGCAAGGACTGGTGGTATATGCCTGCAATCCCAGCACTTGGGAGATTGAGCCAAAAGAATCACTGCAAGTTCAAGGCCAGCCTGGGTGACACAGAATTCAAGGCCAGCCTGCACCGTGACACCCTGTCTCAAAACAACCAAAAAATAGCAGATCTACAAATAGTAATAAGATAATCTGAAAATTCAGATTTCCTTTTTCGTTCTTTCTTTCTCCTTCCTTCCCTCCCTACTTTCTTCTTTCTCTTCTATTCCTCCTCATGCTTCCTTCCTTTCACTTTTTCCTTCCCCTCTTCTTCCTTTTCCTCCTTTCTTCTCCACCTTTTTCTTTTTTTGGTACTGGGGATCAAACTCACAACGTTGCATTTGCCAAGCAGGCACTTACGCCACTGAGCTAAACCCCCAGCCCACCTTTTTCTTTTTATTTAATTTTCTTTTTTGGTACCAAGAATTGAACTCAGAGCCTTGTGTTAGGTGGGTAAGTGCTGCACTACTGAGCTGTATCCCAGGCCCGGTTCTTTCCTTTTCTATTTTTCTTTTCTCTTTTTACTTTTTGGCATTGAACCCATGGCTTTGTACATGCTAGGTTAATACTCCCGCCTATGACTTCATGAGGCTTTGGTGGAAGGACCATCTAGACAGAAGCCATCACAGTAATTTTAAGTGTTTACTATTGAGCCAGGCATGGTGGTACATGTGTGTGATCCCAGCATTCTGGTAGGCTAAAGCAGGTGGATCATAAATCCAAAAACCCACTGAAACAATTTAGTGACTTAAAGTGACTGGGGTTGGCAATATAGCTCTGGGTTCAATTCCCAGTACTCCTAAAAAAAAAAAAAAAAAAAAAAAAAAAAAAAAAAAAAATTTGGAGGCTGTAGTGTACTAGCTAGAAATAATTACAAATACCATACTTTATAGTGGCAAGGTTGAAAAAATAACATTCTTCAATTTTTAAATAAAAATTTAAATTTATTATTAGCTTATTTTTGGTACTAATTTTGAGCTTTCACCCAGAGATACATCCCCAGTCCTTTTTAATTTTTTTTATTTTGAAACAATCTTTATAAGTTGCTAAATTGGCCAGGCTGGACTGGAACTTGCCATTTTCCTGCTTCAGCCTCCTGGAATGTTGTTTTTTGCAGGCGAATATCACCCTGCCCTGCTTCATCAGTTATTTTTGATTAGGAAGAAAGGGAAAAGAGGGGAAGAAGAAGAGAAAAAAAGAAGTTTAAATGTTCTAACATTTTCAGTATAAACTGAAAACATAACTATTAATGTTATCTTTTCCAGATACAGTATTATGATTCTTTTTTAACCTATGGTTCTGCATTTTTTATTCGTTCCTTTTGTTTTTGACTTAGTTCTCTGATAAAAATCACTACCTTGTGCAATGACAGACAGGATGTCTTGTCCTACTGCTAGTCATCATTTCTTATTGTTTGAGCCGTGTGCCAGCCAGGCTCACTATATAATTGCACATAGGTAACATGGTCATTTCTTTCTGGCCTAACATTTTCATACAGGATAATAACATTTTGATTATTTATTTTTTTATCTTTTTGAGACAGGGTCTTGCTATGTGGGCTCACTTTGTAGCCCAAGATGGTCTTGAACTTGCAATGATCCCCCTGCTTTAGCCTCCTGAGTGCTGGGATTACAGGAGTGCATCACCACGCCCAGCAAAATTTTGATTATGTTTGTACTGAGTGAGATGAGTTTCTGCTCACTGAGACACGTTGTTTGTTTGTTTTTTTCTTAGACACGTTTTGAATTTAAGAATTATACCAAAGGCTGGTCAGATCCTCAGTCTAACTAAATACAGCATGTGAAATACGAGTCTTATTTTACTCTCCACATGGAGTCATCCTAGAAATCTTCATTCTTTCTAATATTACCACTTGGATTCTTACCTTGTTGTTTTGGTCAAATCTCTTTAACGGGGCTTTAATTTTCTTATTTGTAAAATAAAATGGTTGTGCTAAAGTTGGTTGGGTTAATTATGTATAAATGACTTAAAAGTTTAAGAGTGTTTTTGCTCTCTTATTTCTGCTTGCAGTTTAAATCTGCAAGCATCCACTCCCCTCCTACCTCCATTGCCCGGCACTGGGGATTAAATCCAGGACCCAGGCTAGCTCGAACTTACATTCTCCTGCCTCAGCTCCTGACTGCTGTTTGGTACTATATGACTATTTTAAAGCAAGAACTACTTTATAGATAAGGAAGTTTTTAGATGTTATAAATTACTGTACAGTTTTAATCAATCTTGTTTTCTTTTTTCCCCCCTTAAAGCTCCTAAAAGACGACGGCCTGCACGTTCAATATTTGATGGTTTCCGAGACTTTCAAACTGAAACTAGTAGGTATCTGTGGAACATTATGATTTCCCTTCCTCACTCTCCCTAATAAAAAGGGAAATTTGATTAATATTAAGCCTGATACTGTGAGGAATCACCTTATTTAAAAAGTTAAATTAGGAATTCAGTCTATGTGTACTTCCTCCAGAGCTGAACTACTCTAGATTCTAACCTATTTGGTTCCAGAGGAATGATAATGGAGGGACATAACATAAGGAATCGTGAGTTATCACTGTGGGTGCCGTTTGAAGGCTGACTCTGATCAAATAAAACTGATTCCTCCAGGATCCTATCTCTCAGTGGAAGGAATTGCTATAATGAAAGTAGTTACAGATTGAGACTGAAGAAAAAGCAACACAACCCAAAGCTGCCACTATTGACCAAAATACTAAAAGAAAAAATATTTTTTAAATTACAAAAAGATTCTTAGAAAACATAAAAATAAATGTAAAATGTGGGTACCCCACTATTGAGATGCCGATACCCTCGTGCTAAATCTGACTCTTATCATGTGCCCTGACACCATCCCAGGTGTTAAGGAAAAGACTTGGAGGATCTGGACCCCAAAATCTGGGTACTTTGTATCCCAAATATTAGGGTGCCCACTCTACCACATTAAGTCTTACCTAGTCCCACTTGAGGTGCCTAGACCCCAGAATTGGGGTACTCTAGACTCCAATATTGAGGTTTACTTTTGTGGAATAAGGAGAACCTTATTTTATACTTGTTTTATACTTTTAGAGGATTTAGTATTGAATTATCAAAGGGATCCTAAAGAAAGGGCAGTTCATGTTAGGGAGTAGATGACTCACTCTTGGTCTGTGTTTGATTTGTAGTTGACTTACGGAGTGTTTGTCACGGCATGAATAAGTCTTGTAACTTTGAAAAGAGTTGAATGGAAACCTAAACTGAGGTCACTAAGTGATCTATGCCCTTCTGGTAGAAAGTGACAAAGTCATTATCCTTGTTTTGTTTTCTTTGCTGTATAGTTCAGGCTGACCTCAAGCTTGAGATCCTCCTATGTCAGTCTCCAGAGTGCTGGAATTACAGCATGGCTGTGTGTTTATTTTTAATTAGATTTATTCCAGAAAATTAAACATAATTTTACCATAAAAAAACCACAGTGCTCACCACTACTGCTATAAAGACTTGAGAATATAGTTAGAAACAACACATACGTTCAGCTAATTTTCAGAACTATATAAATGAGGCGGAATGCTTTCATGTATGCTGAAATTGGCTTTTGAATATGTAAAGGAAATTATCTTGATTAGATGGGCTTTAAAAAAAAAAATCATACTGGGGATCACACTGCGGGTCTTACTGACCCTAAGCAAATGCTTACCCTCTGGTTGCATCCCCCTCCCTAACTAGATTATTTTTCTGCTTTCACTTTGGATAGGGAGTCTTCAGACTTCCTCCTCTCCCTGCTTCTTTTTTTCAGAGTCAGCTTTAGATCTTTGTATTTGCATTTGAGGTGAAGCACATTGTTTAGTAATTACTTCAGTTGATACCTGTCTGTCTGTCTGTCTATCTATCTGTCTGTCTTTCTTTCTTTTTTTGGTACAGGGGTCGAACTCACAACTGAGTGCTTGCAAGGCAGGCACTTATGCCACTGAGCTAAATCCCCAGCCTGATAGCATTTTTCTTACTGCCCAATTCTTGGCTTCTTTTGTTTTATGACTAATTGAAATTTTGTCAACCATTTTATTGCAGTTCGGCAAGAGCAGGAACTAAGAAATGGTGGAGCAATAGATAAGAAACTGACTACCCTTGCGGATCTATTCCGGCCACCCATTGACTTGATGCATAAAGGCAGCTTTGAAACAGTAAGTTGTTGGAGGGTTTATATCTTATTGCAACCCTGAAGAAGAAGAAGAAAAAGAAGAAATATATATATATATATATGAAATTGTCAGCTTCTGCATGACATAACAAACTTTACATTGATTTGTCTGTCTGTCTGTCTCTATTTTTAAAGACAGGGTCCCACTATGTAGCCTAGGCTGGTGTCAAACTCACGGTAATCCACCTATTTCAGCCTCCCAAATGGGATTACAGATATGCACCACCAGACCCAGCTCTGTAATTGTATTTCTTTTTTTTTTTTTTTTGTCTTTTTGTCTTTTTGAGACAGGATCTTGCTTTGCAGTTCAGACTGGCCTTGAGCTCACTCTGTAGCCTAGGCTGGTCTCGAACTCACAATGATCTTCCTGCCTCAGCCTCGTGAGTGCTGGGATTACAGGCGCGAGCCTCCACGACCTGCTGTAATTGTATTTCTAACAGTAGTGGTTTGTCTCTGCTGTCCCTGGTAGACAAAGTATGGAGACAGAGTCTAGATTTGTGTTGATTTATTCCAGCAAGACGGCAATAACAGCTTTATGATAGGGTAGTGGGTAATCTCAGTGAGCCTGCACCTTTATTTCCCCCAAGTTCACACTAGATATCAGTGCACTTTTGCCAGTCTGAGCCTAGCTGACAACCACTAGATGGCGCCAACAGTGGTTCTGAGTTTTAAGCTCAGTGGCTCCCAGTGAATAGGTTTCTCCCCTAGTGAGCCCTCAACATTCACCGCCAGCTAGTGTAGTCCTTCATCTGCACTGCTGTCTTCCACTGCTGCAGCTCTCTTTAGAGCCCTCTGGTGTGTGTCACTGGTGTGTGACACTGTGTGTCAGCAGATTTGAACCACTGCTCCCACACAGTGAGTCAAGGAGAAGGCTCAGGCCAGCTACCTCGTCCTCCTTTGTTGAGGTTTCTCTCTTTGCTCTCCCAAGGAGCTTCATTCTTGCTTTAGATCCTTGCTGGTCCAGGGGACCCACTGCTCTTCTTCATGTCTTCCTCACATTGCTATATTCCAGTGTCTAGACAGTGACTCTCAGAGGAGCTCCTTCTCTGCTGTTTATTAGTCTCTATGTTCCCAGAAGTCTCTTCAAACAGTAATGGATGGAGTTGCTTCTTAGATTTAAAAAAAAAAACCTTTGATTATTAGCCTTGTGTGGTATTATTTTTAGAATCTTTGCCATTTAATAGGTTTTTGTTGTTGTTGTTGTTGTTTGTTTTTTTTTTTTTTTTTTTTTTTTTTTTTTTTTTTTTGGTACCGGGGATCAAACTCACGACCTTGTGTTTCCCAAGCAGTCACTTACACCACTGAGCTAAATCCCCAACCTCTTTTTTTTAAATCTTTTTTTGAGACAAGACCTCCCTATGCAATTCAAGCTGGCTTTGAGCTCATTTTGTCACCCAGGCTAGTTTTGAATTTGCAGCAATCCTCCTGCCTCAGTCTTTGTGGTGCAAGGATTACAGGTGTGTGCCACCACACCTGGCTTAATAGCTTTTTAAAAATCATTTTTTAAAGTTTTATGTATTGTCTTCATCGTTTTCCTCCTTGTTGGGACTCAGTACCAGACACAATCAGTTTAAAGAGGATGGGTTTATTTCTGCTCAGTTTCAGTCCATAGTCCTTGGCTCCAAGGCAGGACAGGATGGCAGAGGGGTCTGGTGTGGGGAAGAGCCAAGATAGGATCAGTGCCCTTCTAGGTCATGACCACAGTGACCACCTTTTCCAGCCAGAGCCCACTGCTTTACAGCAAATCAGCTATAAGTCCCCATAATCCAGTCACTGTCCAGAGACAGGAAGCTCATGGGGCCATTGCAGGACTAACGTATATCCTGGATTCATGGCTGCTACTGAGAGCAGGTGCTTGTTAGCATTTATGGATTGTATATAGGTGTCTTTTACTTGTATAGTCGTTCTGCCTTCCCTGAAACTTCACTTCTCATAGTTGCATTTGCCTGAGATCTGAAAGTATTAGTTGGAGAATTTCAGAAATAAACAGTTTATGTGCACTCTTGTAGCTGTGCTGCCAGGGCAGTGTCCTCAGTGACCCCACCTCCCCACCCATCACAGTGTGCTATCTTCGTTATCAGATGGACTCACGCGGTGTTAAAGTACCTGTGCTGAAGCAGCTATTACTGCATGTGATAGTGGCCTGAAAATTTTAACGCTAGGGATGGATGCAGGTAGTTCAGATGCACCACAGAGGCCATCAAGTGTTTTCTTTAAGTGACAAGGTGAATGTTCTCAGAAAGGAAAGCCAAAAAAGCTATATGCTGAGGCTGCTAAGATCTGTGATCTGAAACAAATCATCTGTCCATGAAGTTGTAAAGAGGGTCAAAGAAATCATGGGCGTGATGCTGCACATCTTGATCCCTGCACTTTGGGAGCTTGGGCAGAAGAATCACAAGTTTGAGTCCAGCCTGAGCAACTTAGTGAGATACTGACTCAAAATCAAAATAAAAAGACAGGGGGTGTAGCACAGTGCTGCATCCTGGTTCGATTCTTGGTCCTGAATAAATGTGCTAGTTTTGTTGTGGTTCAGCCTGTAAATATTATTGCCACAGTGTTAAGTGCTTATTTAAGGTAGAAGGGATATTTACATTGGTGTAAGTCATGTAAAAAAAAAAAGTATATGAAGGATTTGGCATTATTTGCAGTTTCAGACATGTACTGAGAGTCTTGAACATATTCTCTGTCAATAAGGGGAAACTATTTCTGTGGGGGTCCTAGTGTGTTTGGGGAAAAAAGCCTGAAGTTGCAGAATGCATTGTTCCTCGGTTCTGAGTTTTGTTTGTTTACTGAGACACAGTCTCATTATAGTTCAGGCTGGTCTTATACTCACTGTGTGGCTCTGGCTAGCCTCAAACTCAGTGATTCTCCCGCCTCAGCCTCCTGAGTATTGGGAATACAGATATGCGCCCCCATGCCCAGCTCATCTTGGTTTTATCTTGACTAACTGTGAAGAAAAACTTTCCAGAGCAGGTTTATTTGTTAACTTGTAAGCTTAATGTGAGAGCAAGGGAAATGTGTATCTTTTTACTTTGGTAATCCTCTGGCCAAGTAGCTGGCACTTAGTAGGAACAAGACATTTTTTATTTTATTTTATTTTACTTTAAGAGGATAAAACTAAACAGAACAAATCAGATCAAAAGAAAACAATGTAAGTGACACAGATTTCAAAGCAAGACAACAGCAGATTTACAGTGACTGCCATGTTTCTTGTGTTCTTCCTAAATAGTTGTCTATGTCTTCACACACAATGAATTCGTACAAAAAAATAGTATTGAACTGATCAGAACAGTGACATTACAGCCCTTCAAAAACAGACAATAGGGAAGTCAACAATGGCTACCATAATGTCTCGTTCTCTTCAAAATAGCTATCTATACCTTCACGTATGTTAAAATTAAATCATATAAAACAGGCTAAAACCACTCTAAATAAAGAATAAAAGTGTTACTGGATTTCACAGCCCGATGATAGGAAATCAGAAATGGGTACCATAATGTCTCTTTTTCTTCAGAGTAACTTCATTTCATCACACATAATACAATTGATTCTCGTAGACTGTTTCGGAGAAGTTCTACACACATATAAGCCTCCACATGTATACCTATTCTTTCTGTATTAGAGGGAAAACCAAAACAAAACAGATTACCAGAAAAACATGAAACAAAAAAGACAAATAACAGTAGCAAAGAGCCCAAAACAATGATGATATAGGCCTATAAAACAAGATGGTAGCAGCATAGCTAGGTTTGTTGTTTTACATAATGATCTTCTAGAGTTCCTCAGATCACCAGACACTAACATGCAAAATTGTTCCAATCCTATGAATGTTAACTGTTTTGTTCCAAGAACTTACAGAATTTGTAGCACAATCATCTTAGCTATGCAAAGTGTGTTTATACAATTTTAGGTATTTTTTTCTTTTCCCCTTCCTTTTTCTTTTTCCTCCTTTTCCCTGAGATATTATTTTTTTCCCCTTTGAGCAGATTCTTTTCCTTTCACTGTATTTATTGAGGATTTTGTATCTTATGTATTCTTACCATTTCTTACACTAGGGAGACAATATGGTATTTACACATGTGAGTTTGATTTATTTCACTTATGAATATGGTCTCAGGTAATTTATAAATATCAATATGATCATTCTTTATAACTGAGTAGTACTCCAGTGTTTAAAAATACCACATCTTTTTTATCCATTCTTCAATTGATGGACATTTAGATTGTTTTCAAGATCTGGCTATTAAAAATTGTGCTGCTATAAACATGGGTGTACATATATCACTTTGATAGGATATTTTCAGTTCTTCTGGGAATATGTCCAGAAGTAGAATAACTGGGTCAAATGGGACCGCCAATCCCAGCTTTTTGAGGAATCTCTAGACTGACCTCCACAGTGGTTGCACCAGTCTGCACTCCCACCAACAATGCAGAAGAGTTCCTTTTTTCCCATAGCCTCTCCAGCATTTGTTGTTGGTAGTTTTCCTTATCCTGACCATACTTTTTGGAATGAGAGGGAATCTCAGTGTGGTTTTAATTTGCATTCCTCTAATAACCAGTGATGCTAAAACATTTGTTAAATAAATGAATTTAGTGAATACTTTAGTTTTTTTTTCCAAAGAACTTGCTTTTATGTGTTAACTGATATGTTGTTTTTGTGTTAGCATGTTAATGGTCTTTTTTTTTTTTTTTTTGTCTTTTTCCTTTTTATCGGTACCGGGGATCAAACTCACGACTGCCTGCTTGCAAGGCAGGCGCTTATGCCGCTGAGCTAAACCTCCAGCCCCTGTTAATGGTCTTTCAAATCAGAATATTTCCACAGAAATATTACTTAAGTTACTTAAGTTCACAGAAACAACTTAAATTTCAGATTATATATCTGAGTATAAAGTAGGCCAAAGGATAACTAAAAATTATATGTATCGGCTACTTGAAAATGAATTCTGATTTTTTTAAAAAACTGCCCTTTTAATATTCTCTCTCAATTGGTTTTACAATGATCTGTTATTGGTTTGATTTTGCTATACCTAATTGACTGGACAACTATTGTGAAGATAATGAGATATACTATAGCATCTATTACTACTATCCCAATATCCTGCTTTGAAGTTCTATACCAATGTCACTACATTGTCTCAAGTTCGATCCCTAGTACCTGCCTTCTGAGAAAAACTGTCCTTTGACATATACTAGCACAAAATGTTTAGGATAAGGAATTAATTTATAAATCTGCTCTTTTAACTTTAGTTTTCTGAATTGTAAAACTTGAAAGTATTTGGCTATGTAGCAGAAAACTCTAATGTTGGTGATTTGATCACACGAGTTTGTTTTTGTTAGGTAGTAAGCATAGAATTGAGAGACTCCTTGGCCTTTATTTATCAGTCAGAAGTGTTGTTAGATGTCTCCGTAGTTTTTCCATTTTTCTCCTGTGGTCTTAACAGGAGTTACCTGTTCTGTCTGGTGTACTGGTTGTAGCGCAGCCAACAGCATGTGGGTTTGTTTGCTGTTTTCTGTTTTTAAACTTCTGAAATACCATAGGGTTAATGTAATAATTCTGGAGCTTGATTTAACTTGGTCACACTGGATAATATAAAGCCGTTGTTCTTTGTTGATTGACGATAAATGTGAATATCTTTTGTATTGTCTGCTGAATTGTAAATTATATCACCTTTCTTTGTTTCATAAGCTACATGGTTTGCAACAATCTAATTTTTCACTATTAATGTGAGTAAATATACCTACCTACAAGTCTTTATATCATATAAACACTCCCAGAGAAAGTAGTCATTTCATTATAATTGATGGTATATGTTGTTTTTGTTTTTTTTTTTTTTGTCTTTTTCATTTTTATCGGTTCCAAGGATCGAACTCACGACCGCCTGCTTGCAAGGCAGGTGCTTATGCTGCTGAGCTAAATCCCCAGCCCCGATGGTATATGTATTAATTTTATAGAAATAAGGGAAGTAATATGTAAAAACTAAGGCAGTGAAGTTTAGACTAATGGATTTTAGAAACTGGTGGAACACTTTACCTGCTCAGGAAAAACCTAGATGTTTGGTCCCCATATTAGACATAAATTTGAGCCTCAGCTTACCATATTTAGACACTAGTGTTGATAGAGATGGGTCATGTTCAGGGATTCTTGCTGGCTCATGCTAACCAAAGGAAAGACTCATTTAGTGAGTGTTATTGAGGCTTTCTGTGGCAAGATCTTGTTCCACGTGTTGGTATTATGAGTACCAACCATGTGAGAGAGGCCAAGGAAAAAACAGCAGCTTAAAGAAGATGGAAATCTTAGCGTCATCTGTCCCACGAAATTAGAGGTGAGGGTTTTTTCTGTCTTGTTCTGTCATGCCTCCGTCTTGCTTATCTTTGTCCATAATCTAAGATGACTAGCCAGCAAAGGAGGCAAAGGACCTGAGCAGCCTATGCTTTGCCCAGTAAGTTGTATCTAATACTTGGGCTTGGGTCACTCTACTGCAGAATGCAACATGGCCTCATCTGGTTGCAGTGGCTACTAGGATACCAAATGCTTAGATGATATTGGAGATTGCTGAGTGAGGAAGAGAGAATGGGTGTTTGGTACCTATAAATAGTTTCTACCATGGTGGTAATCAAATTATACCAAGTCCTTCCCATCACAGAATTTACAGTGATAGTGAACATATGGCATGCATGTTCTTCTTTAAAGACAAAAGATGTTAATATATTAAGTATTTTTTTCCCCTAAATTAAAGTATCAGTATTCAGACTTAATTGCAGTGTTGGCGCTCTGCAAGTAGATTTTGGGTTGCCATTTGGGCACTCATATTTATTTATTTATTTATTTAGTGCCAGGGATTGAACTCAGGACTTCACACTTGTCAGGCAGACACTTACAGCACTGAGCTAAATCCCCGGCCCTGGGCACTCATCTTTAAAAGGTTTGCCATTACTGGTTTTGTGGTGGTTTTTTTTTTTGTTTTTTGTTTTTTGTTTTTTGTTTTTTCTTTGTCTTTTCGAGACAGGGTCTCGCTGTGCAGTTCAGGATGGCCTTGAGCTCACTTTGTAGCCCAGGCTGGTCTCGAACTTGCAGCAATCCTCCTGCCTCAGCCTCCTGAGTGCTGGGATTACATGCGTGAGCCACCACACCCGGCTGCCATTGCTGGTTTTGTAAGAGAAACAGACTATAAATAAGTGGAAAGCGCAAAACAACAACAAGATGTGTGTCATCTGTATGTTTTTGTTATGTATTTGTATGTAATGACATACTGCATGATACTGTAGTTGCTGGGGGAAAGAAAATACATTATGGGAAGGAGAATAAGGGCTGCTGTGTTTCTTACAGGCAAACTGAAAGCAAAGGTGAGGTCCTAGGTTTCACTTATGTTTGTGATTGTAAGGAAAGGGAACTTTTTAGGCAGAAAGATCAGGGAAGACTTCTGAAGAATGAGATTTTGAGTAGAAACGTGGATCGAGTGAGCGGGAGAGAACAGGGGGCATACAGAGAACAGTGATGTTGGAAAGAGCTGCTTTATACTACCAAGGTGGGCAAACACTTAGGATAAATGCTCTGACCTGGATGAAGGATTATTTCTCAGGTTTTCATCTTTTGCAGTCAGCTTGTAAGATCTGTGAACATAGGAACTTTGTTTTATTTACTGTTAGGAAAATAACAATATCTAGAATAGTTTTTGTCAGATAAATTGGCCTTCATTAGATCACTGTCAAATAGTTGGATGGCATAATTTGAAATATATTGTACAGAAAAATCAGAACAATTTCTATGTTATATCTTATTTCATCAGTAGAAATGCTTTTTTTTTTTTTTTTTTTTTTTGTCTTTTTCTTTTTTATCGGTACCAGGGATCGAACTCACGACTGCCTGCTTGCAAGGCAGGCACTTACGCCGCTGAGCTAAATCTCCAGCCCGAAATGCATATTTTTTAAAGTTGATAATTCAGTTACATGTGCTTCTAGCCCTAATTTACTAAAAGTACTTTAAGTTAAAAAGCATTTATTATTAAAATAATTAGTTAAATGAAGTGGTGCAAAAAATAGTGGAAGTATTTAGCTGAAAATGTGAGACTATTCAGTAACTAACTGAGTTGTGGCAAAACTTTCTATACAGTTGTCCCTCTGGATATGCAGAGGATTTGTTCCATGACCCTCCCCCCAGTGCCAAATCCTTGAATGTTCAAGTCCCTGATATGAAATGATGAAGCATTTCTATACAATATGCACATATCCTCCTGTATGCTGAAATCATTTAGAGATTACTTACAGTCCCTCATACAGTGTGCATGCTGTGTTGCACTTTATTGTTTGAGGGGAAATAAGAGAAGAAAGTGTACTTACATGTTGGGTACAGAAGCAAGAGTCCCAGGCCTAGTAACTGTGTCGTGTGTGGATAACAAAGGAGCAGTGAGCCAGCCAAAGGCGCTGCATGAATGCTGAAAACTCTAGGTCATGCTTCAAAACTCAGTATTTACATGGAAAGGATAACCTGTGAATTCAGAAACGTCAGTCTCCAACTAGAAGTTTGGTGTTTTAGGGAGAGGATACTGGGGATTGAATGTAGGACCTCATGCATGGCAGCATGCGGGACAAGTGCTCTACCACTGAACTAGAGCCTGGTGCTGACCCTTTGAGACAAGGTCTCACTAAGTTGCTCAGGCTACCTTCAAACTTACAACCCTCCTGCCTCAGCCTCCTGAGTAACTGAGATTACAGGATTGCGCTTCTATGCTCAGCTTGTAGAAACTATTTCGAATAAATGTTGTGTATCTTTATTTTTACAGGCCAAAGAGTGTGGTCAGATGCAGAATAAGTGGCTGATGATAAATATTCAAAATGTGCAAGATTTCGCATGCCAGTGCCTCAACCGTGACGTATGGAGCAATGAAGCTGTGAAGAACATTATCCGAGAACATTTCATTTTCTGGCAGGCAAGGAGAAATAATTGAACTTTTTTTTGTAGTGTGGTATTTTGAGGAAGACAAATTGAATTATAAACTGGGGAAAACGAGTTAAATTATGACACATAAGTCCCCTATAATGGGTGAAATAGTAAAGGCAAGGAAGAAGGCAGCAATGAAGAGCTCCCAGAGGAAGGAGGGAAAAACAGAAACACGCCATAGAAACTGTTTGATGCTTGTGTCCCAGAGGCGCCTTGTGGTTTCCGCATGGTAATGATTAATGCGCGCTCTGGACTTGAAATCCAGAAGTGTCTTGATAACTAATTGTGCTGTTCAATAGAAACACATAATAGCTGCATAATGTAAAATTTTCTAGTAGTCATGTTTAAAAAGACAAAAAAGCCTGATGAAGTTAATACATTTTATTGAAATAAGCATGTTTCTGTTAAAATTGTTGTATCTGTTTTGTAGCTAATATAAAAATACTCATAAGATGCTTTGTTTTTGCTTAATTTTTGATATTAAATCTTTAAGCCATCATTTTTGTCTTTTAGAGATAGTTTCATTATGCATTTCAGGCTATCCTTGAATTTAAATTGTAGCCAAGCCAATTGTAGTCTGCCTCAGCCTCCCAAGTGCTGAGATTATAGGCATGCACCACCACACCTTGCCTATTGTGTGTATTTTATGCTTCTCAATTTGTTCAAGACTGTTTCAGGTGCTTCTGTAGCCACTGTGATTAGTGACTATCATTTGGTTACAGTAAACATGTTAGAACTTAACTGCATGTCATCGGATATACAACTTAGTTTTCTTGTTGCTGAATATAAACTAGTGCTACCAGCACCACTCTACTAGTTTCTGACTTACAAATTTAAAATCTTCAGGCATTAGTGGCTCTAGTTGCATTTTATATAAATTATTGAGCTAAGAGTAAATGATCTTGTTCTCATTTTCTATAATTTTTTTAGAGAGGGTTACTTAGACTCAAATTTGGGACTTTGTGCTTGCCGGCAGGCATTTTGTTACTGAGCTATATCCCTGAACCATTTTTTTTTTAAATTTTGAAGAGTTATAGGAAATAACTTTTGAAAGAATCATTTTTTTCTATTACAAGAAACATTGTTAATGCTGTTGATTGTTTGTTGCTGTTAATGCTATTCATGTTTTATAGGCCTCTAAATGCAATATGATTGTTTCTAATGGCAAAATTCCTTTTATTCAATACATACTATCTCTTGCCCTGACATTGTGAGATGCTTGCAAGCTTATGATTTTAATGTATTTGGAGAGATATATTTATGTTGGGGATCAAGAATAACATAGGTATACAGGTACTTGGACACGCAAAGCAGTGCCTTTTCCTTGAACTGAGAAAGGAGGGGACTAGGTTGTTATGTTTATGGTAAGTTCCAGAAGGGCCTGCAGGCAGAAAGTTGAGGAACTCTAGCCCATAGAAGTCTTTTTGCAGTAAAGAACACATTGCCATGAACCCCCCTGAAAATACTTCCCCTCACTTTGAGCACACTTATCCCATCATTTTTCCCACTTTCTGAAGCAGCTCTCTGGAAGTCTTTTTTTCCCCTGAGTGTCTTTTGATTGTATATCATCCTGGCTGCCTCAGTGTACTGAGTCAGTTCAACCCATTGATTTTTCATGATCATATTGACTTGGGGGAAGAGACAGAAGTTGTGCGGTATCAGATGTGAATAAAATGGGTGAGGACACAGCATCATGTTTTTACAAGTTTGCCTTCCCACTGGATGGCACTCAGCAGCAGGATTTACTGTATTTTCTATTATAAGCAGGATTTACTGTGTTTTCTATTATAGCTCATAATGACACTCAGGAAAGAGGACTTTCAGAACGGCTTCAGAAAGTTGCAAAAACGATGAGACAACTGTGTTTGTTGCAAGGGGGGTGGTTTGAGGGTGATTAATGGCATTGTATCTTTTACTGTACTATATTTTTTAAAACTTACAAAATTTAAATGTTCACTAACTACTGTGATCATGCCCTGCACTAAAGGTTTATTTGGAAAATTAATTGTGTTGGTATATAACAGGTTATATTTGGTCCCTTTTTAGAGGTTAACTTTTTTATATATCACTGATTTAACAGGTTTATCATGACAGTGAGGAAGGTCAGAGATACATACAGTTTTATAAACTAGGAGACTTCCCCTATGTCTCCATCTTGGACCCACGAACCGGTAAGATTTGTTATTACTTCACAGCCTTGTAACCTGTCGTATTTTTCAGTTACCTAAAGGATTGATCTTTTAATATTTGGTTTCAGAATTGCAATAATTTAGGTGATAGTTTCTTGTTCATGTCCTTTATGGATTGTTTAACCACTCATGTGTATATCAAGGAAATCTTTTTGGCAACAAAAGATGAAACAATTAATGTGTGAACTGGAGAAATTTATTGCAGTAATGAATGCATTGCCGTGAACCCTCCTCAGAGTCCTTCCCTGCCCTTTGAGCACAGTATCTCATTGTTCTTGCCACTTTCTGAAGCAGTTCTGGAAATGTGAGTTTTGAAACACAGTCTTGCTGTGTTGCCGAGGCAACCTTAAACTTGTAATCTTTCTGCATGTAGGCTCCCAAGTAGTTGAGAATACAGGCTTGTATGTACCATTGCAGCCTATGTGCTTTTATTATTTATTGATTGTATTTTATTTAGCTACTGCTTTGTTTGAACATCTTCCAAAATGACAGTAAGTGATACCAGCAGATCAGATACTCGATCATGATGAATAGGAATCTGTCAGATCTGTTATAGTTGATGCAGTCTCTAGGTTATAAATTAAGTAGATATGGGGATATGTGTTCATAGTAAATTTTAACTGTGCATGTGCAAAAAGAATGACTTAATGAGAATGTTCAGAAAAAATACTAATTTTTATTATGCTTACATATCCTGATTTTTAATCCTTAGGTCAGAAGTTAGTAGAGTGGCACCAATTAGATGTATCTTCTTTCTTGGACCAAGTGACAGGATTTCTGGGTGAACATGGGCAGCTGGATGGACTTTCTAGCAGTCCTCCCAAAAAATGTGCCCGATCAGTAAGTATGAGTAAGGAGTGGTGATGGGTAATATATGAAATTGTCTGTACATGTCTTATATAAAGTATCTGATGTTAAGATGGTGATGTTTTGATAATTTGCCACATAAGGATTCTGTCTCCTCATTGAAGTCATCAGACTCATATACCCAGTGTCTCCTGCAGGTAGGGCACAGGCATGTGACCTAAACATTTTTTTCCCACTTTTTCTTAAATATCTCCCTTCCTTCCTTCCTTCCTTCCTTCCTTCCTTCTTCCTTCCTTTTTGTTTCCTTCCTTCCTTCCTTCATTTTCAAATACATTTTATTTCAAAGAGAAAAAAAAATGCAAAACACATCAGTTGGGGTTAGATACATACATTGGGCATTGTTTTCCCCAAATCATGTATGACCTAAAGATCTTAATTGAGAAATAAACACTGAACATGTGGATCTGAGGACCCACTTGCTTAGGGAAACCCTGGGAGGGCTCTTTTAATCAAGGTAGAGTGCAGCAGAAGTGGTGTTTTCGCTGGAACAACTTTCTAGGGTAATTTGCCATGATTCCTGGTTACATAGCTTTAGGACCTGATTCTCTGGCTCTCTCAGAGATTACTTCTGTACTTAATTTCTGTAGTACGCTATTATTAATCAGACCTCTTTTATGGTTGGCATCATGATTAGCTATAAAATAAGGGACCTTCCGAGATACAGAAGTATCACACTGGTGGTAAATGCTTTTTGAATTTGATGGCAGTGAAGGTAAAATAGTTTTAGAGCATGTGCCTTTAGCAGTCCAGATTAAAGAGTGGTAATGGTTCCTTAGCTGTTATGAGGGACAAAGCACCTGTTTAAGGAAAAGCCTTACGGAGGAGGAGTGTTCTTTTTGAAGGCATTAAAATATAAACAGTCAAACACCCCATAGTATTTCTTTCATTTCCAAGTACCTGGGATTAAAGTTTTTCACCTGGCCCTGTTTTTTTAAATTGAATTATCTCCTTGTTATTGAATTGCAGTAGTTCTTTATAGCCTAAATGTAAGCCCTTTGAGTGTATGGTTTGCTGATATTTTTCTCTTACTCTGTTGCTTGGTTATTCATTATTATGATAGTATCATTTCAAGAGCAAAATGTAAAGTTTGATGAAATTCAATTGGTTAGCTTTTATACTTTGATATCATAAGAAATCTTGCTGTAACTCAAGATTTTATCTTTCTCATTAAAAATAGTTTTTACTCTTGATTCTGTGCTCCTTTTTGTGAGTTTTTGTGTATGGTAATCAGGTATGATCAGGTTTTTTGCTTGCATTATTTTGCAATAGTGGAGATAGAACCCAGGGCCTTCTTTTTTTTTTTTTTTTTTTTGTCTTTTTCCTTTTTATCGGTACCGGGGATCGAACTCAGGACTGCCTGCTTTCAAGGCAGGCACTTATGCCACTGAGCTAAACCCCCAGCCCCGGCCTTCTTATTTTTTGAGACAGAGTCTTGCTAAGTTGCTCAGGTCGGGGTCAAATACTGTGTTCCGTCTGCCTCAGCCTCCCAAATGCTTGAAATACAAGTGTGTACCACTGTGCCCATCCACCCCTTTTATGTGTGACTTTTCACTTGTTTCATTTTTTCCCTTTTTTTTTTTGAGATAAGTCTTGCTATATAGTTCAAGCTGGCCTTGAACTCACAGCTGTTCTCCTGCCTTACCCTCCCAAGTACTGGAATTATGGCCATATGCCACCATGCATGCCTGGTTTTATTCACTTGTTTCGGTTTCTTTCATTCGTTCATTGACAGGGTCTTGTCATGTAGCCCAGGTTGACCTTGAACTCACTGTGTAGTCTAGCAGTTATGGCCCTGTGCCACCTGCCTGGCAGTATCATCTTTTTAATAGAATTTCCCTTCCTCTATTGAGTTGGCCTTTGCACCTTTGTTTTAAAAACAAAATAAAATCTGATCATCCTGATTTTATTTGGATCTCTGTAAACTCAATAAATTGTTACTAGTTTTTCTTTTATACAAATATTTTGTTGTCTCGACTAGTGTATTTTGTATATTATTATGTAGTAAGTTTTGAAGTTACATGGTGTGATAACTTCTACCTTTTTCTTTAAAATTATTGTAGAGCCAAGGTGTGATGGGACACATCTGTAATCTCAGCACTTTGGGAGGCTGAGGCAGGGGATCATAAGTTTGAACTCAGCTTGAGCGAGCTAGTCACTTAGTGAAAACTGCCTCAAAATAAAAAACAAAAAGGGCTGGGGATGTAATTCAGGTTCTGCATTCAATATCCAGAGCCTCTAGTACCAGGTAAAGAATAGTTTTAGTTACTGTATTTCAGGTCTTTTGCATCTTCACATAAGCTTTAGAACCAGCTCGATACATTATTATAAAAAAATAAAAAGACCACCGGGGATGTTGACTGGAATTGCATTGATTCTTTGGAGCATTTTGAGAATCAACATCCTAATGATTGAATCTTTGGGCTATGTAGAAAGGAATAGATCTCCACACTTCTTTGTCTTTCTGTAATGTTTTCTAGTTTTTGCACGTTGACCTTTTGCCTGCAACCTCACTTCATTAACATTCTAGTTACAGTCCCACCTTTGTAGATTCTTAGAATTTTCTGTTTGAATCATCATGCTGTCAGCAGATAAACACTTTGGTGTTCTGAGCCCTGTATCTGTTGATGCTTTCTCATGCCTTCTCACACTGGTTACACTTCCAGTATGGTAGGAGATAGAAGTAGGGAGACGACATCTTTACTTGTTGCTGGTGTTAGTGGGACACATTGTCTTTTCGCTCCATAATTTGATGTTAGCTATATCTTTCTAATAAAGATGCACATACTTTATTAGGCTGAGGAACTTTCCTTTTGTTCTTCGTTTGCTGAGCTTTTATTGTTAGTGGATTTCGTCATTTTTAAAAAACATCTGACGAGGTGATAATATGGTTTGGGGGGGTTGTTTTCCTTGGTTTAGTTTGGGTTTTTGAGACAAGATCTCACTTTGTAGTGCCAACTGGCCTTGAACTTACAGTGTAGCCCAGGCAAATGTCAAACGAACTCTTGGTAATCCTCCTGCCACTGCCTCCTGAGTGCCGGGATTATAGGCTTGCAGCATCATGCCGAGCTTCATCAGTTGATTTTTGAATGTTAAACCTTATATTCTTGGGGTTTAAACCCACTTAGTTTTGATGCTTTGTTGTTGTTACTGGATTTAATTTGCTAAATTTTTGTTGTGTTGTTTTTTGAGACAGAGTGTAACTATATAATATTTCAGGTTGGCTTTAACTCTTTGTGATCTTCCTCAGTCTCCCAAGTACTGGAATTAAAGGCATGTGGTATTATGTTCAGCTTATTTTACTAACATGTTATTGAGAATTTGTTTGTCTGCTCATGAGGAATATTGATTTATAGTTTTTGTTCTTTTTTTTTTTGTCCTTTTTTGTTTTTATCGGTACCAGGGATCGAACTCACGACTGTCTGCTTGCAAGGCAGGCGCTTATGCCACTGAGCTAAATTCCCAGCCCCTGTTCTTGTCTTTTTGAGACAGGATCTCACTATGTAATTCAGGCTTGCCTTGAGCTCACTTGGTAATCCAGGCTAGTTTTGAACTGGCAAAGATCCTCCTGCCTCAGCCTCCCAAATGCTGGGATTACAGGCATGAGCCACCACACCCGGCTTAATTATAGTTTTGTTTTTTAATTTTGAGGATTTTCTGTTCTCATTTTTTCTTTCTTTCTTTCTTTCTTTTTTTTTTTTTTTTTTTTTTTTTTTTTTGTCTTTTTCATTTTTTATTGGTACCAGGGATCGAACTCACGATTGTCTGCTTGCAAGGCAGGTGCTTATGCCGCTGAGCTAAATCCCCAGCCCCTCGTTTTTTCTTTCTTATATTACCTTTCATGTGTTTTTTTCTGGTTTTGGTATCAAGTTAAAACTGACCTTAACAATGAATTGGAAAGTGTTTCTTCTTCCTCTGTTTCCTACAAGTGTGTGTGTAGAATTCAAATTATTTATTTTATTTTTAATTTTTAATTTTTTATGTAAAGAAAAACAGAACAAAACAGAAAACGGGCAGAAATAGTAATACTTTCAAAGAAAAAAAATAAACAGTAATAAATCACTAGTTGATGTATACATATTGTCCCCCCACAAATAGTTGTTCAAGATACACAAGTGGAAAATATAAATGGGAATTTATATACACAAGTGGAAAATATAAATGGGAATTCAACCAGGGAGACTGCAAACAGTTCTGTCCAACTATCCAACAAAAACTACTGGCTATCAATCCTATACACTTAGACATGTATGCATTTATCCATATCTTCATTTATGTTGAGACCTAACAAAACTTACTAGATTAAAATCCTTCTGAACAAAGATTAATAATATTGCTGGATTTCACATCATAACACTCCGGAATCAGCACTGGGTACTGCAGTGTCCCTTTCTTTCCTTCAAAGTATTTGTTCATTTCATCATGTGTCATAAGATCAGTTCTCACAAACTGTTTATAGGTTTTACGTAAGCATGAGTCTTAACATGTATTTCTATCCTGTATTACATGTATTTCTGTATTAGAGGGAGAAGCAGAACAAAGCAGGACAGAACTAAACTTTTTCCTATAGACACATAAAACTAAAAAGACATATAAATATGTTGTATAAGGATTTCTATCATGGTCACTGTGCTGTTTCTTGTTATCATCAATAGAATTGGCTATATCATCAGATAAAGTATAATTGAACATATCAGTACATAGAATTAACAGAAATACAACTTTGTAGATAGTGTAGAACTACAAAAACAGGTAATAATCAAATCAGAATGGATATCATGGTGAATCATTGTCATTTTCAGTATAGTTGTCTGTACTCCTCAACTTGATATCAGCAACCTAACGGTTTTGAATAAAATCTGTCAATAATAAGCAGCAATCAAAAAAGTCAGATTTAACTAAGATCAGTCATGATACAACAGTATAAGTCATACAGGGATCTAGATTGAGCTAATAGGAAATTAAAGATGACCACTGTGCTATGTTCTGATATCTTTGGGACAGCTCTCTGTGCCCCCAGATGCAGTGCTTGTATACAAACTAGGACAGAGCAAGTTCCAACCAAGCAGAGTGGTGCGAGTAATAGGGATTAATAATTCCTGATACAGTATTAGCTATATCTTCCGCTGTTTTTTTTTTTAAGACTATTCTTCCCCTTTACTCCCCCAAAATGAACTGTGTATTTTTGGGTCTCCCCAATACTCACAGTTTTGTATTGGTGGGGACAAGCTGCTATTTACCTAAGTGTTTCCGAACTTTGTCACTCCTGGGCTGGATTTCTAGTTATATTTCTTCATTTATTAAAGCCTGTCTGTTCAACCTATCCATAAATACTGGTCTACTTACCCGTATTACTCTCTATCACATTGAGTTCCGTTTTCTCCTGTTTGATTTTGGTCCATGTAACCTTCAGGCTAATTCTATTTCCTATAAAGAACCTCTCAGAGGACCCTACCTCTTAATCCACTCTGCTTGCAAATTCTCTTTTTTCCCTTAAATTAGTGTATCTAGGCCATCTATATTAGAAATTATATTTTAGAAATTTTTCTGTCATTAGTAGTCTGTCTTCCTCATTTCGCTTTCTGCTCCATTCATTGTGGCCTCTCTGCCACTGTTTCTGGAATCCTCTGTCTTTAGAATGTCCTGCAGTATTCTCTGTAGAGTTGGATTGGTGGTTGAGAATTCCCCAGTTCCTCTTTATTTTGGAAGCACCTTGTTTCTCCATTAATTTCTAGGGACAGTTGTGCAGGATATATCAATCTTGGCTGGAGGCTATTGTCTTTCAAAGCTTGGATTATTTCACCCCATGCTCTTCGAGATTTGATGGTTTGTGCGGAGAAGTCTGCTGTAATTCTGATGGGTGTTCCCTTCTAAGTGATCTTTTTCTTGTCTCTGACAGCTTTTAATATTCTGTTCTTATATTGGATTTCTGGAATCTTGATTATTATATGCCTGGATGTAGTTCTGTTTTGATTGTAGGTGGCCAGAGTTCTGTATGCCTCATACATCTGAGCATCCTCACCTTTTCCTATGTTTGGGAAGTTTTCCTTGATTATTTCTGTGAATAGCCTTTTCTTAAGTTATAGATTCTCTTGTTATCTTCTAGCCTTTGTATTGTTACTGCTTATTTCCTTGTTTTTGTTTTGTTTTGTTTTTGTCTTTTGTGTGTGTGTGTGTCTTTTTCCTTTGTCTTTTCCGGGGATCGAACTCACAACTGCCTGATTAAGGCAGGTGCTTATGCCACTGAGCTAAATCCCCAACCCCCTGTTTTTGGCAGTCCAGGCTAGCGTTGAGCTCACCTTTTTTTTTTTTTTTTTTTTTGTACTGGGGATTGAACTCATGACCTTGTACTTGGCAGGCAGGCATCTATGCCACTGAGCTAAATCCCTGGCCCACTTTGTAGCCCAGGCTGGCCTTGAACTTACAACGATCCTCCCACTTCAGCCACCTGCGTGCTGGGATTACAGGTGTGAGCCACACACCCCGCTTTCCTTGTTATTTTTAAGAAGCTTTTCCTTTCATGTTCCCACATTACAAACCTATCCTCCAGTTCAGATAATCTATCCTTTATTTCTTTCAAGCTGTTATGCCAGCTTTCAATAGAGTTTTTAGTTTCCTGGTAATCTCTTTGAACCTGCTTCATGTATTCTATGTTTTCTCTATTTTCTCCATCAAACAATCCCCCTCCCTTTTTTTTTTTATTCTACCATCTATTTTTTTCTTGGGAGGTGCTTAGCATTTCTTTATTCTACTTATATCTTGCTTTAGTTGATTAAATACTTTTGAACACTTCTATGAGGTCCCAAAGATAATAGCTTTATGTCTATTGGTGCCATGCCTGATATTGCATGTTTTCTGTCCTCATTCTCCTTTGCATTTACCTTTCCTGGATCAGTGTTCTCAGGATTGGGGACTGAGGATCCTTTCCTGTTGCCTCCTCTTCTCGTATTTTTTGCCTCCTTTTATACATGTGTATATAGCAGGCCCAGTTTCTTTCTTTGTCGGTTTCAGTTTGTCTGAAGCATGCTGCCTAGGTGGTCCCGCCCACTGCAGTGTACTAGGAGGTGCAGACTGGGGCAGCCTATGATGGGCCCACCCCTCCTTGTCAACCTACTGAAGGCTTCACTGCCTTAGGGTGTGCTGCCAGGCATAGGGACTTGGTTTGTGCTAGCCTGTTGGGCCTCAGTCTGTGGTATCACCTAGGTCAAGCGCTCCCCACCAATCCTGTTTAAGAAGGTAATATGTGACTGAAGTCACTGCAGCGCCCTGTTTCGGCCAGTCTGCCCAGTCCCAGAATGTCCTCTGTTGGAGCCTCTTTGTCTGTGGAAAGGTCCCTATTCCTCACTCACCACAGGTCGATGCAGGATTCCCCACCAGCTCTGCTCTCAGTTCGGTTTGGTGATTGCCTCTCAGAGCATTCGCATCTCCAGTGAGTTGAAACCAATTCAGGCGCAGCAGTGGCAATGAGTTCAGTCCACGAATTCTGGCAGCTAGCTGTTCCAATCATAGCACCTGAACTGCATTTTCAATTGGTTTCAGCTTAGTTCATTCCTGGGTTGGCAAGGTATATCTCCTTCTGCTTAGGATTCCCCACACCACACCATTCCTGGAATCTTAAGCCGGCTATCTCAGAGAGCCTCTGTAGCTGCTGTTATCTATCCGCCATCTTTTCTCGATCCCTCTCAAATTATTTCTTAATATTTGGGGACATTTACCACCTGGGCCTAGAGTTTTTCTTTGTGGGGATTTGGAGGGACAGGTACTGGGATTGAACTTACAGCCTTGTACTTGCCATTTAGCTAATTCACCAGCTTTTGTGGGGAATTTTAAACTATAAATCCAGTTTTCTTTGTAGGTATAGGATTACTTGGACATCTTCTTTTGAATGAGCTTTCACAGGCTGTGTGTTTCCAGGGATCTTACCTAAGGATTTGGTTATATTGATAAAATTCATTGTATTCCCTCATTACTTTTCAAATTTATTTTTATTTTTGGATACAGGATCTCACTGTGTAGTGCAAGGTGGCCTTGAGCTCACTTGATATAGCCCAGGGAGACCTGAAATTTATGGAAGTCTTCCTTCTTCAACCTCCTCTGAGTGCTGGAATTAGAGGTCTATGCCACTACACCCAACTTGTTACTCCTCTAATGACTGTAGAGATAGTAGTTGTCTCCTCTCTTAATTCTGTTACTGGTAGTGTATTGCGTCCCTTTTTCTCCCTAAATCTAATTAGATGATGAAGTTTAATTGACAGAACAAACTTTCGATTTCATTGATTTTTTTTTTCCCCTATTGTATTTCTGTTTTTAGATCATTTATTAGTTACTATCATTGGTTAATTTCTGCTTCCCCTTCTGTTTAGTTTGGGCTTAATTTCACTTTCTTTTTCTAAGTGGACAGTTGGGGGTTTTTTTGTTTTTTTGTTTTTTTTTCTTTTCCCATTTTGTAAGGTGGGCACTTGAGTGGTTAATTTGAGACCTTTCTTCTATTGTAAGCATTTAAATCTGTAATTTTCTTTGAAATACTGCTATAGCTCAATACTGCAATTATTTTCTAGGGTCTAACTGCAGAGAAAAATTAGTAAATGGAGTCTCTCAGCTGGACGTTGTGTAACTGACTCAGGAGAGCGTGCAGAGTAGGACCTAGTTGTGGCCGAAGTGGCTACAGTGTTGATCACTGTATTTCTATGCTGTATTTGATGTGATACTTTGTTTGTGTGTTTTTCTTTCCATCTGTGTTTTGTGACTATCACAGGAGAGCCTCATAGATGCCAGTGAGGACAGCCAGCTAGAAGCAGCCATCAGGGCCTCCCTGCAGGAGACACATTTTGACTCCACACAGACGAAGCAGGACAGCCGCTCAGATGAGGAGTCTGAATCTGAACTTTTTTCTGGCAGTGAGGAGTTTATATCCATTTGTGGCTCTGATGAAGAAGAAGAGGTAGAGAATCTTGCCAAATCTAGAAAGTCTCCCCACAAAGATTTGGGGCATAGAAAGGAGGAGAACAGGAGGTCACTAACTGAGCCCACTGCCAGAACTGAGCCCGGAACAGCCACAAATCACCAAGGATTGCCAGCCTTGGACCCAGAGATCCTGGAGATGTCACCTGAAAAGTCAGATGGAATCGTGGAAGGTGCAGATGTAAATGGTGGGTGGTATTATAGTTATAGTTAAAACTTGAATATCACTGGTGACCTGCTGATTCTACTAATTTAATCTCCTATTTTAAATTCTGTCTTTCTTTCCCCAGGACCAAAAGCACAACTGATGTTGAGGTACCCAGACGGAAAAAGGGAACAGATCACTCTTCCAGAGCAAGCTAAGCTGTTAGTAAGTAGATCTACCTGGAAGCATTTGATTGAAGCAGAGAAACTGTTAATTGGAATAAGCCTAGTGAGCATTCCTTGATTTTTTTTTATTTTTATTTTTTTTAATTTTAGATAGGGCATCATTATGTAGCCCAGGCTGGCCTGGATTACAAGTGTGTACCACCACAGCTAGCTTTCCTTGATTCTTTAAATAGGTATTAGATGTCTAATCTCTGCCAGGAAACTGAACTTCATTCTCAGTAGTTTGTTTCCTTCCCACATTGTCAAGGCAAATCACATAGGGTCTGCTCTTGTCACAGCTTTTCTGTTCTGTGCTATGAGGAACACAAAGCCAGCTGAAGGAATTCCTTCATTGGGACTATTTGAAGATGACACAATACTAGGATTCTCTTCTTCTTACCATTCTCCGCTCTGCATAGGAGAGGTGTCTGTTTATTCCTCTGCTTACATACGACATGGGCATATGAAGGGCATCTAAATTCATGTAAATTTCACAACCAATCTGTCTGACCTCTCTTTTCTACTGCTGGGAAAGAGAATGAGTCTGCCTATGAATGGACCCCACCCAGCCCGCCTTGGATCAGCAGTTCCTACTTGGCTGTTTGCTGTGGCTGCAGATGATTCTTAGAGGCAGCCTGGTAGGATGTAAGTAGAGTGTGGCCACTGGCGCTGGCACCCAGACTGACTCCAGTGGAGACAACAGACTGAGCAAGTGCAGCAGGCTCCCTTGTCCAAAGTTCTGGTCACCGGGAGTCACCTGCAATCTGTAAATACATATTCAAGGAACATTCCAGAAATAAGGAGCTCATAAGTTATAATTATCATGCCAGTCTGAGTACTGTCATGAACCTTTACATTGTCTCAGTGCCACCCAGGATAGCAGTCATCTCTTAATGTGATACATCTACCCCATAGCACTGTCATTGTATCATGCTGCTTGTGTTCAGGTAACTCTTTAGAACTTAAATGTTTTACTAAATTTGTGAAAGTATACTTCGCAATTTTTTGTGTTATAGTGTTAGGGATCCTTAAGAGTAGCGATGGGGAGGGGGTGGCTTGGGATTTAGTTCAGTGGCATAAGTGCCTGCCTGGTGAGTATAAGGTCGTGAGTTTGATCCCTGGCACCAAGAAGAAAAAAAAAACTAAGGGTAACAGTGGTAATTTCATTACAATTGTTGTCATATGTTCTATTTTATCATTAGTGATTGTTGCTGCTCTTTTGCTGTGTCCCATTTTTAAATTAGACCTTATGAGAGGACTGTATGTAGTGGGATCAGTGCTACCTGAGGTTTCAGGCGTCCCCTGGGAGCCTGGGAGTTTGCCGCGAAGCCAGAGGGAAGAGTGGGCAGGAAGGCGAGGCAGGGGTTGGGGAGCCTCAGGCCCCGAGGTCTGGCGCAGAGAGCACGCAGGAAAAGGGAGCTGGTAAGGGAACTGTGGAAGTGGGTGTCCTGGAGTAGTGCGCTTTCTGTGGAAACAAGAAGGGCGAGGCAGGACTTGGTGCCCGAGGTGGGCAGGGAGTAGGGGAAAGGGACCTGGCTCCGTGGGGGGAGAAGGAAAGCTGACGGCAGGGTAGTGATGCAGACAGTACGGGATAAATACTGATTGGGTTCACTGAAGAGACAGTGCGGACTCTGTATTTTAGTATCACATAATGGCTCTTAATTATTGGGTACGGATATATATATATATATATATATATATATATATTTTTTTTTTTTTTTTTTTTTTTTTTTTTTTTTTTTTTGTCTTTTTCATTTTTATCGGTACCGGGGACCGAACTCACGACTGCCTGCTTGCAAGGCAGGTGCTTATGCCGCTGAGCTAAATCCCCAGCCCCTGGGTACGGATATATTATCTTCCTATCCAAAGGGTTTTACTGACTTTTCTACAAGGATGAACTTTGCTTGTCTAAAAGAACAGCTTAGACTCTGGGGGCTGGAGGTTTAGCTTAGCGACATAAGTGCCTGCCTTGGAAGTAGGCAGTCGTGAGTTCGATCCCCGGTACCGATAAAAAAGGGAAAAAAAAAAAAAAAAAAAAAGAATAGCTTAGACTCTGAATTTCATCTAGTCTGATAAAGAGTGGTGTTACATGCTTACTTCACTAATGCGCTGTTTCCTTTATTTCCATGTAACGACTCCTTTTCTTCTTTTCCGTAGGCTTTAGTGAAGCACGTCCAGTCAAAAGGATATCCAAATGAACGTTTTGAACTTCTCACCAACTTCCCTCGGAGGAAACTCTCTCATCTGGACTATGACATTACATTACAGGAGGCAGGCCTTTGTCCTCAAGAGACTGTCTTTGTACAGGAGAGAAATTAACACGCTGGCCTGGTCTCTCTCAGCCTCCCCTTCTCCCTTCCCTGTGATACACCATATCACTAAGTATGCATTTTGGCTCATAGGACGAGAGGGCCAAAGTTGGGCAAGCAAGTCACCTGCCTTCTCCTTATTTCTTGTTCTCTTCTAGAATTAGTCTCCTTCCCCACCCTTTCTTCTCCTAATCTCCTACTTTCCCATGTTCTTTATTTCTTATCTAATCTGGTGACCAAATGGAAGTGTAAGGATAAGAGCTCTCCTGCTCTGGCAGCAGAAAATGTGTTTTCATACGTGGTCTCTTGCACAGCTTTTTTTCAGGATCAGATGGTATTACTCCTCAGACTCCCTTGACAAATAATGGCTAGATTCAGAATAAAAACAACCTCCCTTTTTAATGAGCCCCCATTTTTATTAGGGAGAATTCTGAACACATTTTTGTTGTTCTTCATGTAGGAAATATCAAGTAACAAAATACCCAGCGTTTGTTTACATAGAAATAGCATTGTTTATAGTTTTGCTCATTATATGTAAAAAAAATTTTTTACAAAGAATTCCCATCTTTGCAGCTACAGGTTATTTCCATGCTGTGTCTTGGCAGAATGAGTATTCAGCGTAGGGGTTGTAGCGTGGGGTGGCTTTCAATGTCCTAACCTGAAAGACTTTCTTCATGATTTCGCTGTTAATTCTATTGATCCTGCTAGTCATAGAACGGACGTTTAGTGAGCATATTGTGGTGTTGGATAGGATGGTGCTTGCTATTTTTGCCAGTATAGCATATTAGTTCTTTGGCTCCTCCATTGTCTGAGCTGAAGGTGAGCTACAGAAGGCAGCTCTTCAATAATCATGCAGTACAATGACTTGTAACGTAACCACTGTGGTTATTGATTGTCCTATGTGCTCAAGGCATACTTATGTATGTCCTGGGGGAAAGAAAAACATGCAGCTGAGAGTTGCTAACCATGTTCCTTTGGTTAGAAATGATTCATTTTTTTAACCCCTGGTTGGAACAGTTTCTCAAAGGCTCTGGTAACTGACCTGAATTCCTCACGCTATTTTCCCTTAGAAGGTATGAAAGCAAAGTCCTTAAGGGGAAGACCTTTAAACTCCGTTCATAAGACTTTAGTAAAGGGCGTGTTGGAGGTTACAGTGATGTTCAGATGATGTGGGGGTTTTGCCCAAAAAAGCCACATTCAGGTTGTAGCTGGTGAAAGCTTCTCTCAATGTTATTTTAAGAAACCACCTTGGGTCTGTGTAATACTGTTGGCTTGTGAGCTTTACCGTGTGCTCAGTTCTTACTTGAGCTCTAGAGTCCTCTGGGGGTGGGGAGTAGTGATCTGGTAGTGAAGTCATAAATTAACTTACACTACTTTTTGTTAGCTGGGGATTTTAGTTGATTCTTCCACAGAAGAAACATAAATTGCTGTTGCTCAGAGACCTTTAGGTTGCTGTTGACTTGAAGACCATTTTCTTGGCAACCAGGGGATTTAAAAAAATGATGCTGTGTGTTGATAGTCCACAATTATAGAACATGGTTTGTAATGGTTGGATTTTGAGGGACCCTTTCTGAAGAATGAGTTATGTATCTCCTTGAGGAAATCATGGAAAATTCTGTTATTCTTCAGTGAGTCCTTTTAAATTAATGTTCTTACATTTGTTTTCTGTGTAAGTGCTTATGTGTAAGTATATAATTGTATAAATATTTATAAATATATTTATATAATTACAGTTTCATTTATACCTTGAGTGAAAGTTCTCTCTGTAGAGTGGTGACTGAGTAATACCACTTGGGTGTTTTCATAGGCTCCTGAGGCTTAACTAGCAGCTTCTTGTCTGTCGTATCTCTGAACTTGGATGACTCACTGGCTGTCTGAGGGTAGAGCTGTCCACTGTCAAAGGTACGATAGAGGGTATAAAAACTTGTTGGAGGTAGTCAAGGTCAGATCTAAAAATCAAGGCAACACAGGGTAAGAAGTGACGATCTGTGCAGCCTTATGCCATGAGGCACCTGTCTTCCCTCCCAGCACAGTCACAGCTGAAGCCCAAATTGATCAAACTGTGAAGTCTAGAATATTCACTCTAGGACTCTGCTTCATCCTCTTCCTACCAGCTTTTCTCTCTGAGCCACATCTTGACAGCCTCTGGCAGCTTGTTCATAAAGGAGAGGACATAACACTAGTATGCATGGTTATGAAACACCAAACTTAACTTTCCAACTTGCATTAGCACGGGGTGACCAGGTACACGTGTGATTTAAGTAAGAGACAAGTGACCCGACCCATTCACCCGGCTAAGATGCAGTTGGCCTATAAGAGGACAGGACGCAAAGGGTTGTATTCTGTGTTGAGGCAGGTATGCAGTTCTTAAAGGGTTAGTAGGCCTTTGTGGGGAGCTGTGGCTCTTTACAGGAATTCCAACTCTGGAGTGTGGCCTTGCTGAAGAACCTCATCTGTTTAGGGAGGATGCTGGCTCCCATTGGCATGCTTCCTCTGCAGGTTCCTTTGCACTCTGGAGGAAAGGGTTGACTGAAGAGATTAAATGAAGCCAGCAAGGTTCATAAACAGTCATTCCCCCTGTAGGTGTTGGGAATAGCTTCACAGAGGGTTTTAAAGGTCAGGAGGGAAGGAAGAAACAAGGTAGACTTTGAGGCTGATGGAAATACCATAATGGGGGATGGAATGAAAACTAGAGAGGGAAAGGTGAGAGGAATACATTTGAGTTTGACTTAAGAAGAGCCCACAGAAGGGGTAGTGCAGGTGCACCCAAGGGAAGGATGCAGAACGCATTTTAAGTACCGAGCACGTGCTGTGTACTCTGTGTAAGTCTTCCTGCAGACCCCACTCGTAGGTGTTTACCCTGTTTAAATAAACCAGGAGAAAAACCGAAGGTCAGAGCACGAGGTCAGCCTTTGCGCTCTCCTTCCACACGCAGGGAGGCAACTTGCCCAAAAGGTCCACTTTGACAGTTAACATTCAGCTTTGCTTCCTTAAAGCTAGGGGGAGCAGTTGAGGTAAGCCTTTTGGAGTTTGCACTGTGCCTATAAAGTCTTATTTATGTCATTATTTTGAGAAGCTGATTATTAAAAAAAAAAAAAAGATGCACTGATGAAAATGTGAAAGGAAAATAACTCTGCGACATTATTTGCCTAAATCTAAAGGGTAAAAAAGAACTTTATCTCTCTTTAACAGTTTTTTATAAAATGTGTAATAGTTCTTTTCTGTGTCCAATTCATGCTATATTATTGAACCTTCCCTGTATCTTTTAAGTCTTTGTAAAATTTTGCTTCCTGACTGTATAAGGCAACAGTCACCTACAGAGTTCTGAATCAAATCAGAAATATTTTGAAGTCTAGGATTTGATTCTTGATGGTTTTATCTAGCTAGACAGATGGATTACAAATAAGATATTGGGAAATACATAATTGTTTGCCTTTCTGGGCTTGAACTGTAATTTCAGTAGAAGTTCAGAAAAGAGAAGGAATTGTGTAGGCTAAAGCCTTAGGAAAGTCTTCACAGAGATGTAAGACTAAAAGATGACACATGCTGTAGCTGAGATATTTTTTGATTCATCTACATTCTTTAGCTCCACTTATTATAACTGCTGGATTTTAAAGCATGAAGTTTTATCAGACATAGAACCAGTACACAGACAGGAAGGGATTACTGCTTGCTGTCTGGCACTAAAGATTCTTAACAAGCAGGGACGTTATTTGGACACTTAAGAGGAATAGCAGAGGGGGGAGCCACTAGGAACTGAAAAACAAAGGAAAGGTTTAACTACCTACCCAGGAACACATAAACGTCTGGTGTCCGTGATGTGCAGGAAGGGCACTAGATACAGGACAAGTGTACTTCGGTGAGAGCTCTGCTACTAATGAACTGTTACCTTGTATACTCCCTTCGTACCTCGGAGTCTTGGGCTCCTCATCCATACTGAGAACAGTACACTAGATTCTGAGTCCTTGCAAGTAGAGGGATTTGTCATGGGTGGGGAACTGTGGGGTTAGCTACTCAATGTAATTAATTCCATAAAGAAAATGTAAACATCCACCTGGAATTGCAGAGCCCTGGCAGACATCTGAGGACCCCACACACACTGTAGACCACTGATTACATTATCTCTGAAGTCCTTTTCCACTCCAAATTCTTGTGTCTAGTCTGTCCTCTTTATTATATATTACCCTTAGGCTAATTAAAAATGTTCTTGTTAATCAGTTCCTTTGCCTTTTTTTCTGTGTACAGATACCATTTGCCCAAGAACTTGATCTGACCTCATGGTAATGGCTGAAATCCCCCAAAAAGGAGAGTGTCATAGGTGTGATCTAGTAATGTCCTTTAAAAGAGTTACTGTTTATGAACTGTTAGTATTGTGTGCCTGCCTGATCAGTGTTGAGTACAACTAAGATGTAATTAATGCAAGCCAAAATATGCCAGTGACACTGGAGTTGAATTTTATCCTGTATGTTTTAAAATAACTACTCCCCACCCCCCAAAAAAACAAAACTACTCCCCTGGCTCAGCAATTACTGGGGAATTGGTCTGTTAGAATTTATACTTGGTTTGGGCAGAAACAACTTTTTAAGGTCTCACAAAGCTGCCTCTTTAAAATGGTTTGTGTCCCAGTCCCCTTTTTGACTATCTTTCTTTGAACTCAGTAGTAAATGATGAAACCCAGATTGATGAATAATAATTTCTTGTGTGAAACCAAAAGTGAAGAAGCAGCCCATCTGATGAACATGGCACTTTCCCAATAATACAAGCCTCCACGAGTAAGCGAAGACAGCCGTGAGCTGTGAATATTCAACTCCACTGGTTTGCTTAGCTTAGCACTTCAGCTGTTGTCTTGCTGTGAAACTTAGTGGTAATACACAGCACACACTTTAGAAGGTAGCAAGAATTTTTGTTAGAAACGAAAATAGCAGCCCGGTGTGGTGGCACATGCCTGTAATCCCAGCACTCAGGAGGCTGAGGCAGGAGGATCACTGAGTTCAGAGCCATCCTGGGCTACATAGTTCAAGGCAACCTGTACTAGAAACACTGTCTCAAAGAGAAAGGAAAATAGCCAATTGAGAATAATATTTCCATACTGTAGGTTGATTTCTCCTGTGAGCTTAGCATTTCAGTAATTATTTTGGTTTTGACTCAGTGTCAGTCCTGCTGGAAAGATGGTTTTGAATCAAGAATGTTGTGGGGTTTTTTACATAGGGTCTCACCACGTACCCCAGGCTGACCTTAAACATGTGGCAGTCCTCTCTCAGCCTCCCAATCCTGCTGGGATTACAGGCATGTGTCACCATGCCTGATGATGGAATCAAGAGTGTTTAAAAGTAGAGCTTATGGGGGCTGGGGATTTAGCTCAGCGCCATAAGCGCCTGCCTTGAAAGCAGACAGTCGTGAGTTCGATCCCCGATACCGATACAAAGGAAAAAGAAAAAAATAAATAAATAAAAGTAGAGCTTATGGTGGCCTTCATTTCCCCATGAAGTGATATCATGTGATCAGATAATTGGATGTGGTAAAAATCTTAGGACTATCTTTTACTCTTAATTTCTCTTTCTCTATTCTCTCTTCTAGGTTTTTGATGTCCTGTCTCCAAAAAACAGTTATTACTTTTAATATAACTAGCTTTGTTTATGTAATTCTAAGTGTTAGTGTTTCTTTTTTTTTTTTTTTTTTATAAATGTACAGAGGAAAAATTTGATACGAACAGCTATTTTATGGCTCATTTTCTTTTTTTTTTAGACAGAGGCTTGCTTTGTAGTTCAGGCTGGTTTTTAATTTATTTATTGTGTAATCCAGGATTGCCTCAAACTCACAGCAGTACTCCTGCCTCAGCCTCCTGAGTGCTGGGATTGCAGGTATGCATCACCATACCAGTAATGTAGAAAGATAGCCAGATTTATTTGTACAATTAGAAGCGCAGATGGTAGTATTTTGCCTAAAGAACAGTTGTATACTAATCGATAAGTACAGGAAATCACTGATATACTTAATTCTGTGGCAACAAGCAGCAAGTTTTTGTTTGCTTAATGGTAGTATTTCCTCTGTAAAGATCAAAATGCTGTACCTAAGATGTTATATGCCTTTGTAAATCATGGAAGTTTTCAAGTGGCAAAAGCCAAGCTAAGCTGAACTAAACTTAAGTGATGCTTTATCTTCATCAAAAAAGTTATTCATTGACTAGGCCACCAGGAGCCTTTCATTATTAGGAAATGGGAAACATTTCAAGATAGCAGATAAGTTCAAACCTAGAGTGGAATCTCTCTTCCTTAACATCTTTGTTACTTGACTTCTTCGTGTCCTCTGTGTGGTCATCTTAACTAGTGGCCTGCTACCGTGCCCTGCTCTTCTGCTTTTCTGTCCCTTGGGGTGACTGCAGTATGTGTCATCAGGGTCCATTTCAAGTTAGTGATTTTGAAAGGTTGACCCTCAGTTGGACACCTTGGTGTTTTCATCAAAATGATTTTATAATATGCTTTTCTCAAAGCTGCTTTGTTCTTAATGGAAAAAAAATCAATAAATCAGACATGATTCAGAATTCAGATAGGTTTATGACACTAAACATATGCTTTTAATAATTTCTGGTCGCTTGTTGCCTGTAAGTTAAGCCTCAATAGAATGACTGGAAAAATCCAGTCATTCTGCTAACTAGAATGACAGCATGTGCCCTCCACCTTTCAGTGGGTGAGAGGGAGCGTGTGGTGGAGGCCCTCTCACTGCACAGTTCATTTAACCCCTGGGGACCAGTGAAACTCACTAGGGTGGTCCCTGAGCTCCAGGGTCAGGTGAATGCTAGTCACACCAACATGGTCTGGTAGCCACTGAGGGTTCTGCCAGGCTTTGGCAAGAAACTGTAGGACCATAGGATTTTCACTTCTTTCAGGGTCCTCCCCCCACCCCCAGCCGCCAGAATGGTTTTTCTCTTGATAATAAATGCTAAGCACCTAGTGTCTTTTTTTTTTTTTTTTCCTTGACCCTTAAAGTCTTTTTCTAGTAGCTGCTAATGGTTCCATGGGAATTTTTCATGCGTGTGGTGGGCTGTGTGCATGCTTCGTCTGAGTTCAGTTTGAGGAGCGTGTTTAGGCTCATCTGAGACGCCTGGTTCCGGCATCTCTTCACTGTGTTTTTAAACATTTTGCGTCATTCTCTAAGCCTTACTTTCCATCTTATTTGGAGAGGTTGATCAAGGAATGAAACTTGTTGGGGGGTAGGGCAGAGGGTGGGTTGGGAGCTTGAGTGATGTCCACTTGGGGTATTTGCTTTAGAAGTGTTTTTCAAGCAGTTCCTAACAGTATTTAGAGATTCCCTGGGATGTCTGTGTACTTTGGCTTATGCTGGACAAAGTAGTGGTCTCACTGAGATTTGCATTTTTAATGCAGGACAAGCTCTAAATTAACTCTGTAGTAAAATCCAAGAAGATAATGGACAGTGTTCTAATTGTAGTGCTTCTGGCGAGTGCCCCTGAAATGCAGAGCTCTCGTGTCTTGGGCCTTTAACCCCACGGTGCTAGGAGATACTGTTCTGTAGTTCTTTCCACAAGTGGAAGAAGGCTTTGGGATCACCCAGTGAGCAAGAGGTAGCTGGACCATCCACTAAATTCTTTTGTTAAACACACACTAGAGACCCTCCTATGTATCCAGAAATGACACAAGGGGTGCTAGGGAAAGCCTTACATTTGAAGACACACGGAAGTGGTAGAATATCTCTGCTTACAGGAAAAAAGCATGCCGTTAGGTAAGGCAGAGCTGGAACTGCTGGATGAGACTCAATGGAACTTCCACTAGCTCTAAAACCAGGGAAATCTTAGCTAACCGGGTGTGATCTATGTAGATAACAGGTAGTCTACTAGGTGAATATTTTCTAAAGTGAGGATCTTGCTCTTGGTTGGTGATCCTCTGGTTTGGGCTGTACCAAATTGTGAATATTCTTGCTGTGTTGTACCCGGTTGCTTTATATGAATACTACAACTTGAATTGGGGTGGGCGGGTGGGCAGTTGTGGGGAGGGATGGGAGTGGGACACCACGTCTTTTGAAGACATCAGCTCACTGTGCTGAGAGAGGGACCAAACTCAAGGAAACCTCTGATCTCTAAATCCAACTGCTGCATTTTTTTTATAAATACATGTAAATGTCCTGTTGTAATATTTGATCTTGGAAATAAAAACAAAAACTTTTCAGTATTAGTTTTTTGGGTCATTGTTTCGCAAAAGGAGAGCACTGGATCTTACTTTCATGCATGTAATTCAGACTCCAGAAGCTTGCCCTCCTATTCTCCACTTACGACACAGTATTTATGACAGAGGTCAGTTGCTGACCCTGTTGTCAAGTGTGGAGTTTGCGAGCTTTTCCTCTGCTCTTACTGTGTTGAACATTTATGGCAGTGGTGGCAGACCCACGGCAGTGTGCCGAAGTGGGCCCCCAGAAGTCTCAATCAGCAGGTGAGCCATGTTGCCCAGCAGTGTAACACTTGTTTTTTCTAAACAAAAACCTCAATATTCAGGTTTAATCGTGGTATTGGCACTTTGCAATACATAGTTGTAGGTTGTAGTGTGAAAACATTGGCTTCATTTAGCCAACCTTGCTAGAAAAGTATGATTTTACATTTTATATATTTGGACAATTCAAGTGTCTTATCTTTTTTACCAGAATAATTGACTAAGGGCTAAAAATCACACAAATGAAAAAAAAAACAATTAAATGAGACTAAAGCCAGGAGATACTACACTGTGTGACAGAAGTCGGATTGCTGACTTGCCCACCCTAGGGCACCTCAGCCCCACATGTGCCAAATAACAGAGCCAGGACCATGGTGGTGAGCAGGACAGACACAGCCCCTGTCCTTAGAGAGTGAACTTTCTAGCTGGGAGTACAGAGAACATGAATGAAAAAACAGATTTCATTCTGACACTGGGTGAGAGCTCAGAAGGGATCAGCTGTCAGGAGGCTTCTGGGGAGCTGACTTCCGCCTGGAGGATGAAGAGAACACTGCAAGCCCAGCAGTATGTGGAAAGGCCATGGAGTCCGGAGGTCCTGAGAGGGCCTTTGTGAGTGAAGGGAGTACACAAAACAAAAGCCAGATCACACGGGCCTCGCTTGGCCACACCAAGGAAGGAATGCGGGTGTTCTTGTGCATTGAGATGCTGTTACGTAGGCTTGGATTGGAGGAAAGCACAAGAGTAGAGGCCAGTTAGTCTAGCAAGAAGGATAAGAAGCA